GAAACGCTGGGATCCGGGGGAGAGTCGGCTGGTAGCAGGAACGCTGGGATCTGGGGAGCGTCGCGTTGCGGCGAACCGCTGGGATGCCGGGGAGCGTCGGCGGGTACAGGAACGCTGGGATCTGGGGAGAGTCGGCGGTACAGGATAACGCTGGGATTCCGGGGGGAGCGTCGGCGGTACAGGAACGCTGGGATCTGGGGGAGCCGTCGGCGGCACCAGGAACCGCTGGGATGCGGGGGAGCGTCGGCGGTACAGGAACGCTGGGATCCGGGGAGCGTCGGCGGTACAGGAACGCTGGGATGCGGGAGAGCGTCGGCGGTACGGGAACGCTGGGATCCGGGGAGCGTCGGCGGTACAGGAACGCTGGGATCTGGGGAGCGTCGGCGGTACAGGAACGCTGGGATCCGGGGAGCGTCGGCGGTACAGGAACGCTGGGATCTGGGGAGCGTCGGCGGTACAGGAACGCTGGGATCTGGGGAGCGTCGGCGGTACAGGAACGCTGGGATCTGGGGAGCGTCGGCGGCACAGGAACGCTGGGATGCGGGGAGCGTCGGCGGTACAGGAACGCTGGGATGCGGGGAGCGTCGGCGGTACAGGAACGCTGGGATCCGGGGAGCGTCGGCGGTACAGGAACGCTGGGATCCGGGGAGCGTCGGCGGTACAGGAACGCTGGGATGCGGGGAGCGTCGGCGGTACAGGAACGCTGGGATCTGGGGAGCGTCGGCGGCACAGGAACGCTGGGATCCGGGGAGCGTCGGCGGTACAGGAACGCTGGGATGCGGGGAGCGTCGGCGGTACAGGAACGCTGGGATCCGGGGAGCGTCGGTCGTCCTGTTGAGACGAAATGAAGAGAGGAGCTCACCAACATACTGGTAGCCGTAGCGACGAATCGTCTTTGTTATGACCCCCGCTGCCTTTCGTTGAATGCCGAAACCAGTTTCCCAACCCTTGTCCCGGCATGGGATTCAGTTACACACCACATGCGTCGCTTCAGTCACACGTAACATTTCTCTTGTCTACCTTCCGGGCTTTAATGTGACAGACCGCGTATATACGTAAGACAGAGGTGTTACAACACCAGATATGCCAGGAAAGGTCGGCACCTGCTCACCTGGGCGCAGCATTTAAGTCCCGCTCGTGGTGGCTGCGGCTTAACCGGCCCAAGGTCAGGGGATAAGGCAGCTTCTCTTTCGCGCGAAGCAACGTTTCGGCAGCAGTTTACAATGCTCACAACTGCACTTCTAGACAGCAGATGTTTTTGCTTACGGGAACAGCCGAGCTCTCCGTTGCCGAGCTCACACGGGCCGCTCGTGACATCGACAAGTCTAGCGTCCAGCTTCAACACCGTCGAATGTACGGTGTCATTTCCTGGACCCCTGCATGCCTCACTGCATCGTAGTTGTGACAGCAGCCAGGTGCTGTAGCGGCGCAGTTTGTTGGCGAGCTGCTCGAGCAACGACTGCCAGCCACACCCGATCACACCGGCTCCGGTTGCCAGCCACACCTGATCACACCGGCGCCGATTGCCAGCCACACCTGATCACACCGGCTCCGACTGCCAGCCACACCCGATCACACCGGCTCCGATTGCCAGCCACACCTGATCACACCGGCTTTAACTGCTAGCCACACCTGATCACATGCAGGCACCATCTACTGTATATAGGTCGGCAGGTACACAGCTGGCACTGCTGGTCGGCGGCCGCGTTTTACCGCGTACTATAATACCGCGTAATACCGCGTATTACCCGCGTCGCACCGCGTTCCTTATTCCCGTAAGTGACCTCACCTGTGAACAGGCCAGTGAAGCCCTGATCTAACCCTGCCCTGAGTGTGTGTGTGTGTGGGGGGGGGGGGGGGTTAGCGAACCAACCAATAGGTAGGTTGCTAATTACTAGATTCGGAACGTCTGCGTCCAGTTTGTGTGGCACCAAATCGTCAACAGATCTTCAGTAGGTTGAAACGCTCGTTACTGAGGAAGCATGCACCAATTAATTTTTAAAAAAACGGACGACTATGGTAGTAGTGCCGAGTCTCCCAACGTGTTAAGTGTGGGAAAATTCCCCCGCACTGTACCAACTTCCCTTCGCCCACTTCGCCCACTCTCCACATACTTCCCACCAACTCACAGCTGTTCTAGCCACTGGCAGGCCCCGAGGGGGCCGCGGGAGCATGTCTTGCACTTCCCAGAGGTCCATATCCGGTCGAACACTTGCGTTTTTTAATACAAAGCGTTAACAGTGGGACGTCCTCTTGCTTCCAGCCAACCAGGAAGAGCCAATGGGCGGAGCAAATCTTTTTGGTTGATTGGTAGGGTCGTGATTGGGAAGATGATTATGAGGTTCAGGGGCCCTACGCTGTTGTTCGGGTGCCCTGTATGTCAAATTGCTGGAGCGGTTTCGGTCCTATTGGAGACGAGGAGGGGGAGGGGAGATACGCGGACCGATATTTGGGGCCGGTCGTGTCGTCTGGATCTCCTCCCCACTCCCCTCACTACACCTCTTTTCGGACAGTCCTACAGTAGCGACCAGAAGGTTATGAGCTGTTATCCCATGTGCTTCTCTTGTCTGCGTGATGCTCCCGTGACGGATGGGCGCAGCGGCTTCGGCCGTCCGGCTAGCCGTTTCACTTCGCTCGGCACTCTTTTCACTCCAGACCAGACTCGGCACTCTCGCCACTCTAAACAGACTCAGCACTCTCGCCGCTCCAAACCAGACTCGGCACTCTCTTCACTCCAGACTAGATCCGGCACTCACCCCAATCCAGATCAGACTCGGCACCCTCTCCTATCCAGATCAGACTCGACACCCTCTCTCATCCAGACCAGATTCGGCATTCTCTCCAGTCCAGACCAGATTAAACACTCTCCAGTCCAGACCAGACTCGGCACTCTTTCCAGTCCAGACCAGCTTCGGCACTCTCTCCAGTTCAGACCAAACTGGGCACTCTCTCCAGTCCAGACCAGACCCGACACCCTTCCCGTCTAGACCAGACTCGACACTCTTTCCAGTCCAGACCAGACTGAACCAGGCTCAGGGCGAAGCCATAGTCGACTCTGGTGTCAAAAAATATGTGGTAGGTCAAGGTGGAGTCGTGTGAGCGGTAACCGGTATTCTCATTTCCAGCTCTCATGTGAAGAGCAAATAGGAACAGAAGACGCGCTCTTGTTAAGTGTCCTTAAGATGTCCTTATGTTAAGCCAAGATGTCGCTACCGTGGCCTAAATAGGCCTTTATGTAGGCCAAAGAGTGGTTTGCCGGGTGAGCTTTTTCCTTCCAATATCAACTCTGTCCTAATCCATTGTAATTAATCCGCAGGTAATCGGAAAACGTTCGTACCCGAACCGAACCACTGCCGTTTGCGGACATCAGCTCGCAACGGAGTGTTGACCACGTGATGGACACAGGCTAATTGTAGAATTCACATATGATGCCTTTATTTTGTCGTTGAATCAAACTGGTGCAGCTGGCGATCAATGAATGGAAACAAGCTGAAGATGCGATGTAGGGTTCTTTGAAAACGCCGGCATCATGCCATTAAGAACGTCTACAAGAACATGATACCTCCGGTATCTCGACGTTGGAATCATAGGCAGAATGTGTTTGACAAACCATACCGCCCACGGCCAAACCACAAACCATACGGCTCACAGCCAAACCACAAACCATATGGCTTACGACCAAACCACAAACCCTACAGCTCACAGCCAAGCCACAAACCTTACGGCTCACAGCCAAACCACGAACCATACGGCTCACGGCCAAACCGTAAACCATACGGCTTACGGCCAAACCGTAAACCATACGGCTTACGGCCAAACCACAAACCATACGGCTCACAACCAAACCACCAACCATACGGCTTACGACCAAACCACAAACCATACGGCTCACAGCCAAACCACAAACCATACGGCTTACGACCAAACCACAAACCATACGGCTCACAGCCAAACCACAAACCATACGGCTTTTCCGCTGCGCGGGGACGAGTGGGCGCAGATCAGGTGATAATGAGCCTGAGACGGACCTGTCAGTATCCAATTTGCTCGCACGCATGCACTTCCCTTCCAGACACACAGATATGCATGCCCCCGTCGCGCGCACGCACGCACACACGCATAAACACGGGCCAGGCATGCATGATTACTGATATGTTCGGCGAATGAGGCGTTTGCGTTGATGAAAACATGAAAAGCTAAGAAGGATGTCGCCTAGTACTGTGCGTGTAGCGAAACCCATTGAGTAATCTGCACATGTGCGTTTGTAATTTGGATGTTGAGAGACGAAAAAGCTTCATCGGAATTCATCCTGTAGCAGACCCCATGCCTGCATCGGAGCCTATTCAAGGCTGTGCTTTGATGTCCAAGTGTTGAGGCTCACAGTGGAAATCAAGATTATGTTCTATAAGTCACGGTTGGGGTCGATTTCGATCGAGCGGAACCGAGCATGCACCTGTATGCTGGCTGGAGTCGCGCGCTTGTAGGGGGCGGATGGTGTAGTGATTTAACTAGGCTTCTGGAGAACCAGAGGTACGGGGTTCGATCCCCTGCGGTGCCCGCCCGTCCTGCGAGGGTGGGAGGCAAGCGACGCGATATAGCCTCAGCAGCTGAGTGCACGGTAAAGCCCAATAACGATGATGATGACAAATAGCGGTCGTCAAAATGATATAGAGATAATGAGATATAATAATGATATGTGTAATGATGTATGAAAATCATATGCGTCAATGATATATGATATTGATATATGACAATAATATATGATAATGATATATAATGAATGGCGAAATATTTTGGTACGATGTTTGAAACCTGTAATTGCTGGAGAACGGAAATTTACGTAGCATGCGTCAAAATGTCTCAAATGCAGCAGCCCATGTAATCATACACCCCCCATCTTTAACCAGTACCATCTCCGACTTAGGTAGCCATTAAAGTCATTAATGGGCTTCATTTAGGTGGCCGTCAGTGCTGTAGTAATGCATCATCTTCTGTTTCAGCGCTATGTATGCGGTACATCACGGCTGTACTCTCTCACACCCGAAAAAGAAAACGTGGACAACGTTGTCTACAAGCACCCACACGCAAGCGCCCTTCAAAAAGTCACGTTCTCGTGGATTTTCAACCTCCTGCTAGTTGGTTTTCAAACTCCGATCGAGTTTACAGATCTCGGCAGGTGAGCTTCGAGTGGCTTGTACCGCTGCCAGGACGCGGGCTGAATGATCGTCCTAAAAAAAAACAAAAACACCCAAGGTGTCGCGTACGTCCCAAGTCGATCGATGCTTAGGTGCAGGCTGCCTCTTGGATGCATTTTTATTTAACCTGCATAATATTTAACGTTTTGATGCGATCAGTTATGCAAAACGGGGCAGTCTTATATGAGAGCTCGAGCTCAGCAGTTGGTGGATCTCTGGAAGTCTGCTTTGCTCTTTGTGGGGTTAAATCGGGACACAAAATGTCTTGCCTGTGCCATTTTTAAAGGCAGTGTTCTACATTTGTGTGGGGTGTTAAACCGAAATAGCTATCTTAAAGAGAATTCGGTGCAATTCACGCCCCGACCTTACTAAGACCTAAACCCCTCAAGTTTCTGAGCTACACGCCCACGAAGATGTGCAGACTGTTTCGAAGGCACTATTTCAGAGTCACCCAGGCATCCACACCATAATAACGTCACTCAAATCCTGTCATTTCATTAGCCATTAGGCGACCAAGGCCAAGAAAATATTATTGTTCAATCGCGCATATCTGGTATCCGTGAGTACGATTTCCAGATGCAGTGATCGTCAATTGGCTCCCAATCAGTGTTGTGCAAAGCACGATGACGTAATGGAGCAATGACGTGTTTTAGAGGACATTTGCGAAACAAAAATATTGTTGTTTAGAGCAGTCTTTTTCACTTAAAAATATGGCAGCAGTTATAAGTGAGCCTATTTCATCATATCTGCTGCCTGCTTCAGTGTCTTCAACTGTGGAACATTCCCTTTAATTGGTGCAGAAGTGGTGTGTGCGACCCACGTGAACCTTCTAACAATGTCCCTGTCTTTTTCATCAGCCTGCCCTCTGGTGAGGACACCTTGCCGCACTACGAAAAGCTGAGCAAATCCTTGAAACGAGAAAAGGTGAGCAGAAATAAACCAGACTAGGTCGATTCCTTCAGTAAAATCCGACGGGGTGAGATCCGTCGGAAAAATTTGGGAGACAAAAGTTTGATGCGTTTGATTTCCAGTGTAATGATGTCTGGGGTGAAACGGCAACCGTTGGCCAGTTACTGTGCTGTCCACAATACGGCACATCTGTCGGTAGTATTTTATGTTTACTAGTTGTGAGAATAGGTAACAAGTCAGCTACCTATTTGCGACATATTTGTACTGTTGTTTGTCCTAGAAAGTGTCAGAAGAAGAGCGTAAAAGGTGTTTTTTTCCAAGATGGGTCATGGCCATTATTCACTCCTGTGCCTCTTGGATTTCAGTAAATATTTCGGCGTCATTCCTCATGCTCAGCTACTTTCCAAGCTCCACGTCTGTAAGATTGACCCGGCCTGTTTCTTCTCCTATCTTTCTGGCCACTCCCAGTCAGTCTGCATCTCTTCTCTCTCTCTGGTGACAGAGTGGTCTTCAAGCTGCTCCCCAATACCCAGGAAGTCTTCCAGGGATCGGCCCTTGGTCCTCTCCTATTCACAATCTTCGTCAACGCCCTCAGCCTGCAGGTGCTGGGCGTTCATGTGACCCAGTACGCTGACGACTCCCAAATCCTCACATCCGACGATAAACGCAACGTTCCTTCCCTCATCCAACGCATGTAAACCACCCTGTCCTCCCCAGCATCGTGGTCCCACGCCCACGGTCTCAATCTCAACGCATCCAAACCTGAACTCACTCTCCTTGGCACCCGACAGAACAACCGCGGACTTTCCCCTGTCACCGTACGGGTCGTTGGGGAGACCGTTGAGGAAAGCCTGACCGTAAACAATTTGGGTGTGCTTTTTGGCCGCCACCTGAGCTGGGACGCACACGCCAGTGATGTAGTAAAAAAGCACATCGGTGTCCTGATCGGTCTCTGCCACCTGGGACATTTCATCCTGTAACGAGTGCTAGTGACCATATTGCAGGGTCTAGTCATCTCGCGCGTGAGATACTGCATTGCGCTGACCCCTGGTTTATGGCCAGGGGCTCAGCTGTTAACGAGGCCAGACTGTTTAAAGTAGTTAACTTTACTACCAGGGTGGTTACTGGCCTGCCAAAGAATGACCACGTGTCTCGCGCGCGGGATGACCTGCCCTTTGCCACGCTTCCCCAAATGTGTGGCGTACAAACTGTTATCGCTGGCGCACAAAGTCCGTGAGCGAGGTGACCCGGAGGCTCACCTCACTCACCTGATTGTTTCAAACATACGCTGGCGCGCGGACCAGTTACCCGCATGTGACTACCCGCATGGACCATAACCTGCGCCTACCAGCGTTGCGCACGGCGGCAGGACAGCGGTCCTTTGCATACCGAGCGGTGTCTCTCATCAATGAGTTGCCTGTAGATGTCCCAGGACTGAATTCGGCAAGTTTTAAGCGCACTGTCAGCTCTTTTTTGTGCGATAGGGTTGTCTCATACTGTGTATGCGGGCATACATTTGTGCATGTTTTTATCCCCTATCATCTGCCGCATACAATACATATCACATACAAGTTTTCTTCCTTCCAAGTAGATATGCATGTTGTATAGAATAAGCTGCATGGAATAGGCCGATCGGCTATAGGGAATAACAAGGTCACGGCTCTTGATATCTTTTTGTGAACTGCCATCTGTCAGTCTGGTGGACCTCAGTTCAAAACCTCCGTACAAAAGTAAAGCCATTGAACTCGCACGGTGCCGAACTGTGTTATGCCTGAAGACGGAACACATGCAACACCTACTTGAAGCACACACTTTTTCACCCCTGAAGCCTGCACTCTGTCCTCCATGAAGCACGCACTTTTTCACCCCTGAAAACCACACTCTGTCACTCCTGAAACCCGCACTCGTCGCCCCTGAAGCCCGCACACTGTCGCCCTGAAGCCCGCACTCTGTCGCCCCTGTAGCCCGCCCTCTGTCACCCCTGATGCCAGCGCTCTGCCACCCCTGAAGCCCACACTCTGTCAACCCTGAAGCCCGCACTCTGTCAACTCTGAAGCCCGCACCCTGTCAACCCTGAAGTCCGCACTCTGTCAACCCTGAAGCCCGCACTCTGTCAACCCTGAAGCCCGCCCTCTGACACCCCTGAAGCCCGCACTCTGTCAACCCTGAAGCCCGCACTCTGTCAACCCTGAAGCCCGCACTCTGCCACCCCTGAAGCCCGCACTCGTCGCTTCTGGAGCCCGCTCGACCGCCGATCCCGTTGTGCCAGCACCCTGTCAATCCCCGGTCTGTGTCTGTATGCAGGCACAAGCAGCGGGCGCCGGCCGCGAGGTGCGGCTCTGGCGTGTGATGTGGCGCACACACCGGCGCCGCCTGCTGCTGGGCGGCCTGCTCAAGCTGTGTGGCGACCTCTCCGGCTTCGTGGCGCCGCTCGCGCTCAAGAACATTATCGAATTCGTGATGCTACACCAGTCGGGCGAGCTGCAGGTGCACCACCTCGAGAGCGCCGGCGTGAGTAGTACCGCACCAGCCGCTGGTGCCGCGACCTGTCGGGCGCGCGGCCCGCCCTCACGCCGCGTGTCGCCGTTGGAGGTCGGACGCTGGTGGACAGCGAGACGGGGCTTAACTCTCACCTTGAGCGGAGAAGCAGCGAGCTCAGTGTGGAGGTTTTGAGCACATGAGTCCTGACACATACATTGCTGGACATTGTGACCGTCCGCATCCCTTCCGTTGTTTACGAAGTTCTTACACTGGCCCGTCACTGCTTTCACACAAGGAACAGGCGCCTGTTTTTAAATCCCGTGAAGTGTATTTTATGGCTGCATGCCAAACCTGTGGGACTTTGCGAAGTCCTTCACACTGCCATGCGAGAATCGGCCGACTCCTGCGGCCCGTAACGTTGTATTTTCCGCAGCAAACATTAAAGGCTGTGTGTGGCTGAGCTGTGTGCAGTATTCGCTTTTTGTTTGTAGCGGACCGTCAGCAGTGGCTGTTCCGGACGACTCTGGCGCGTCGCAGTGACGTGTCGTGCAGCCCTGCCGCTCCGCCAGGCAGCCGGGGTCGTGACAAGAATCAGCGCTGGAATGCGGGCCAACTTTAGGATCACGTAGCACTCAGGATGGCCAGCGTAATACCCCTGCAGCGCTTACGTGCGCGCGGTCCCATGCATGCCCAACGCTCGCCCGAAACGGGCTCCCAGCCTCACCGTTCACACGCATCTCTGTCTGTCCCCAGTACCTGTACCCGACCGTGGCCGACTTCCTGTCGAACGGCTACGTCATGTCGGTGCTGGCGCTGGTGGCGGCGCTGGCGCAGGGCACGTTCTCGCAGTCCTGCACCCACGTCATGGTCACCGAGGGCGAGCGGCTGCGCGCCGAGGTCCAGGTCCGTCCGCGCCTCGCGCGGCGCAGCTGCCCGGCGCCGCCAGGCGGCAGCACAGGCTCCGAGCGCTCTCCTTGGCGATCAGCCGTCGGCTTATGGCAGATACGCTGCGCAAGAAACAGGCATGCGTCAAGGCAGCGATGCTTGCGTAGTTCCTGTGTGCTATTAGATACATGCGAACGGAGCCCTTGCCAGAAACTCAAGTCGGTGCGTGGTTCGTCTGCGAGCTTTTGTGTTGTGACGGAAGCTGGAAGCTTTCACGTGAATTGTCTGAAAACGTATGGCCAAACATCATGCCTTTTGTACCGAGCTGAAAGTAACTTTATATATTTTTAACCCACACCCACACCCTTGATAATACCTTAACTCGCACCAGCGAGTACCAGACTGGCAGCGAGATGCCCTCGCTTTGAGAACATTTGTCGCCCACCAGTGGCTTGTAGGTTCAAGGAGACGTTTTCGCTTGCTTCGCTGGCGGGGAGGTGACGCTGCTGGTGTGGGTAGCCTAACCCCCAACAGTTTATCGTTAACCCGAGTCTCGACAGTGTGAGGTGGTGTCAGTAAACACAGGTTCGAGGCCATATTTTTTTCTTACGGGAGAGGGAGTACGTCAAATGTTCTTCGAATTCCAGCCAATTTTTACCGAAGCCCTGCGAAATCGCCCAGTGTTTATTGTAAACCTTGTGGCTCAAAAGGGCCGTACCCCCCCCCCCCCCTTCCCCCTCTCTCACCATCCATTGGCTATATCTCAGAGTTAACAAGATACGTTGCTTGCAGCAACATATCATTGGTTCGCATCCCAGTGATGCACAGTGTATCCCATTTTTCTAAGATTTCAGTGACCGCCTCAATCGGCAGTCTCGCGTGTGCGGTATCACTATATTTACCGTCGCTCATGTTTAACTTCTTCCCAGCTTTGTGGTATGTTTTCGATAGCTTGTGTACACAGAAGAAGCTTTCGATAGACAGCTTCTGCACAGCTCGTTTCTCCTACATGTACCAAAGTGTCACCCTGCCGAGTGCCAAAACATGCCCCGCTCGCCAATCCTGTGAATGGCACCGATAACAGGCGGCGCGGGCTTATGTGGTGGATCGCCGTGAAGGCTGAATCCGTCGTTTGCACGACTCTCGTCGCGATTTGTGCAGCCGTATGCGCTGTGTTGGGCTAAAGAAGTGTAGACAGACAAATTCACTCTCGGAAATTAGTCAAATGGATTATCACCCAACCACACACTGTCGCCCACCAGTGTTATAGGCATTCAACCATTGTTCCGGGGACACGAACCCGTGTTTGCATGTGTGGAAATGGGAGGGGGGGGGGGAAGGAATGGCCACTGACAGCCTGAGTCACAGCAGCCGCGGAAGTCTCCAGCAGTGACTCAGCTGGTCCGACCGGCTACTCGGAGCAGGCACGGCGCGAAGGTGACGCGGACAAAAACTGTCCTGATTGGTCGATATTTGAGTCGCCCAGAGGCCGCAGAACATCCGGGCGCGTTAGACGCCGGAAACCGCAGTGGCGCAAGAGCGCCACTGCGGCAAATTATCAGAGTGGATAAAAGTCGTGTAAATGCGCAAAATACAGTCGACCATGGGCAGCTCCGTATGTGCTGTGAGAAGTTGTCTGGATCGTACGCGGCCTGAAGAAGAGAATTAGCAGCACTGGTGGGTTCAGTGCTCGCCCGAGCTGTCGCTGGGCCTCGTGACCTTGACTGCGGCACGGCGAAGAATGCGGGCAATTCTCGTGGTCTGCGCAGGGCCGCCTGGCTGCAGTAATAGTCTACTGAACATCCGCAGGCGTGTTTTATTGCAAAGCTCTGAGCTGACCTAACCGACCCAATGTGCTGTAGTGGAAACCTCTTATATCATGGGGCGTTGTTGTTTTCAGCGCGAAATCAGACCTCCCAGACCCAACGATGGGGACCTTTCTGAACCCAGCGATGTGGGTCTTCCTGAGCCAAACGGTGTGGACCTCCCTGACCCAACGATGGGGACCTTTCTGAACCCAGCGATGTGGGTCTTCCTGAGCCAAACGATGTGGGCCTCCCTGAGCCAAACGGTGTAGACCCCCCTGAACCGATCGATGTGGGCCTTCGTGAACCCAACGATGTAAGCCTCCTTGAACCCGTCTGTGTAGGGCTCCCTGAACCCGTCGATATAGGCCTCCCTGAACCCGTTGATGTGGACCTTTCTGAACCCAGTGGATCGGCCCATCGCTGTAGTTATCCCCTGGATGCTGCAGGAAACGGTCGGCAATGCTGGCTAGACATCTGTCGCCGCCCAGGGAGCATAAGCCCTCACTAACAAGGCTGATAGTCCCCGCGTTACGGCGAAGACGGTGAGCGTCACACGGCCCCGTCTCGCGCGGCCAGGAGCCATCTGTCTGACCCGAGCTGGAGTGTGGTGCTGCAGCTGAGGCTGGTCGGTCCGCCGCAGGCTCTGGTGTACGAGAAGTCGCTGAAGATCCCGACTGCCGGCACTGACCACGCGACGACAGACAAGTCGGACACCCTGCAGCGGCCCGGTAAATTAGTGGCCTCGATCGTGAGACTAGGCCGTCCACAGGCGCGCTGCCTATTGATAGCGAGCGTGGTGCCACAGCCTACCGCGCTGACTAGGCCTGAGCGCATCGGAGTCAACACGGCGGTGTTTTGTGTTTCAGTTTGCATGCTTATTTATGACGATGATATCGACGGAAACAGATTTGTGACAATTTAGAAGGACTTACCCCGCAGTTTTCTCCGCTAACGTCAGCGTGTTTGCAGCATTGCAACACCTGCAGAAATCAACCTGTTCAACATCCTTTTACAAACCACTTGAGCTTGAGCACTTATCGCCATTGAAAGAATCGTATGACATCGTTGAGTTGTTTCCTGACTGTCCGACAGCAGGGGGCCAAGGTATCGGCGAGACCGGGCATAATGACCACGTCGACTCCGGCAACATCATCAGCCTGCTGTCGGAGGACGCGGCCAACCTCTCAGAGCTCATCTGCCAGTCTCAGTACATCTGGGCCATCCCGCTGAAGGTGAGGACTGCCCTGGCAGGCACTGTGTGGACCTGAAGACGCGTACAGGTATTCAGGGTGGCCGTGAATGCCAGCGTTTATTTGCCCTGGGGCATCCCTTTGAAAACCCGGGAAGTATCAGTCGTAGTGTCGTTCTATGAAGGTCGTCCTGGATGTGCCAGAAGAGCATACGTATCAATATAAAGGCCTGTGGTGGCAATTCAAAGCGGCGTTATCATGAGGCCATCCCTGATGAGGTGCGCACCCTAATGCCAAGAAGGTTAAGGCAGCCTTTAGCCCGTTTTTTGGCCGGCAATGGTCGGCCAATTCTACTCCATGTGGGCCGGTCCACCAGCTGTGTGCGAACGACGGCGGAGGCGCGGTACCTTCCTGCCCCTACATCCCGCCGGTCAGGGACCTCTGCAGTCCAGGGCGGGCGTGCGCGACTGCACGAGGCATGACTAGACAGAATTTCACGAGTCGCCGGGCCCACACCAGCGCCAGTGGCGTTACCACGACGGGAAGCCGATGGATGGGTGGGCGCGGGGGAGGAAATGGCTCATGGAGCGAAGCATGTGGCGCCGTATTTATGGGCTGTTTCGACCACAGCGGGATTGTCCCATACGGTGATTCTGACATGACCCGGGACACGACTGCGCATTTGCTTTGGGTTTTATGGGGTTTGTGCCGGCGTGACTTCTCTCTGTATCGTGGCCTGGGTTCGCGCCGTCACGTACCTGGCGCCTAATATTGGTAACACCCAGTCAGTCTAGAATACGTTTTTAGAATGAACATGAAATCCCACATGGTTTGAGACGGTCAGCTGATGCGGTGCGTGAGAGCAGTGTGGCCCTTGCTCAGATCATCATTCTGCTGGTGCTGATACACGGCCAGCTGGGCATCAGCGCCGTCATCGGCTGTTTCGTGTCCATCTTCCTGCTGACACCGCTGCAGTTCGTTATCGTGAAGAATCTGCAGGCCAACAAACACGTGCTGCAGGTGAGCGGAAACAGTAAGGGGAAAGGAGGGAACGGACCGTCACGTCAGTATATTGCAAACTAGACCTGTGCGTCTGGTCCCATTGGCGGGCGCAAATCTCAGAAATGTTGACAGAAATAACGTCCAGGGGTGCACACGAACATGTGCCTAGACATTGCCAGAAATCCTAGTCCGGAAAACAGCTCCGAGATCCAACAACAAGCCAGCTTTCCGAAGCTGAGCTCGTCCGCTCCAGCACCATGCTTGACTGTGCTGCAGGCGAAGAGCGACGAGAGACTGAGCCGCTCCATCGAGTTCGTCAACGGCATCCGCCAGCTGAAGCTCAACGCTCTCGAGTTCGCCTACGAGAAGAAGATACAGCTCGTCAGGAAAAACGAGCTGAAGCTTCTCATGAAGGACTCGTTGTTTTGGGCCCTGAACAGTGCGTAAAGGCGATGTTCATGCTCTACGTTGGGTGTCCGAAGGCTGGAATGCCATGCAAATGTCTGATGAGTGTGCAAATGCATAATAATCTATAAATTGGCATACGGCAGTTGAACACCATAAACTGGCATAGGCATTGGACAACGACCTTGAATGTACAGCGTCATGTATTAACTAGACATATTTTTGGTTAGATGGCTTTAGTTGTTATCAGTTGTTATCAACTAGTTGTCATCCCCTATGATTTTCATCACCACAGTCGTTCTCATTTATCAGTGTCTCTTGCTTCCATGCGCCACTATCGGCCGACCGGTTAACCATTCCTCCGTTTTATCGAGCGGAGGCGCCGCCTCGCTCTGACCCCTGTGACGTGGCTGACCCGGCATGAACCCTCCCGCAGTGTTCCTGACGCAGGCCTCGCTGACGGTGATCACCATGACTACATTCGGTCTGTACAGCCTGCTGGAGAGGACAGCCACTCGTCTCCTCCCACGTCTTCAGCGGCGTGGCCCTCTTCAACCAGCTGACTGTGCCGCTGTTCGTGGCTGCCCAAGATCGTAAAGGCGATCATCGGTGCCTGGGTGAGGTCCGCGCTCGGGCTGCCAGCAGTGAGCTCCTGCGCTCGGGCTGCCGGCAGTGAGCTTCCGCGCTCGGGCTGCCGGCAGTGAGCTCGCGCTGGCTGCCGGCAGTGAGCTCCCGCGCTTCGGGACTGTCCGGCAGTGGAGCTCCGCGCTCGGGCTGCCGGCAGTGAGCTCCTGCGCTCGGGGCTGCCGGCAGTGAGCTCCGCGCTCGGGCTGCCAGCAGTGAGCTCTGCGCTCGGGCTGCCGGCAGTGAGCTCTGCACTCGGGCTGCCGGCAGTGAGCTCCGCGCCGGGGCCTGCCGGCAGTGAGCTCCTGCGCTCTGGCTGCCGGCTGCCAGCAGTGAGCTCTGCGCTCGGGCTGCCGGCAGTGACCTCCGCGCTGGGGCTGCCGGCAGTGAGCCCCGTAGTGGGACTTCTGGCAGGCTCACACCAGTCTGAAGCCACGTGTATCGCCATGCTGAAGGATAACTCGACAAGGGAGGCTGGCTGGATGTCTCACCCGAGACCGTGGGATGCGTAGCACGGGTCCTATGGAGCGTCCTGTATCGGGAGCGTTTGTACATTCGCCAAAGCTCACGTCAGGATCCAGCTTTGTATGGCTCAGCAGTCTGGGAATAGCCGGTAGCGAGTCTAGCTAAAAGAAGCATCGCATGCTTCGGGTTCTGGTCTGAGTGGAAGTGGCTCACAGATCCCTTCCTCTATATCAACACCTGACTGGAGAAGTTGTGTCACAGGGCCTAATTTAAGCTCCGCTGTAGCTGTGATGTACAACGCCACTTCCTCTCCCGGTGTCCCAGAGCTCTAAAATGACAACTGCGAACGAACCGGCAACTCGAAATCTAGTGTGCGGTGTTTGCACAGAGCATGCAGCGCTCGTGGCGTGTGGTGATTTATGACCGCTAACCGTTGATCGTAAAGCAGCGGATGTAAACAGTGAGCCAACGCGCCGTGTGTGGCGTCGGCCAGTGACGGCATCGCGTCTGTGTCTGTGGCCGCAGGTGAGCATCGGCCGGCTGGGCGACTTCCTCGGCCTGGCGGAGGTGGAGTCGCTGCGTCGGCAGTCCCCCGTCTCAGGGGACGCCGGAGCCAGCCGCGCAACCCTGGTGGGTGCTCCTTTCGCGGCGCAGCTCCCGCACACCGCACCCGGGGCACTGTGACCGTTTGGCGGACTTGGCAAGGGGCACGGGCTGACGGCGTGCTGATGTTGGCACGTGGCGGCAGCTGATCACGCTGATCTCGTGCATCTGAATGTGGCAGCATGTTTTAAGTGCTATCTTTGCTGTTTTGTGCTTTTTGCGTTATCCATTCACTTCAATCTTTCTTTTTATCCATTTTTTCACCCACGTTTTCAAGCCTGCGGTTTCTTGTAACAACGTTGGTTAATCGCGAGCGTTTTTTGGTTCACGTGCCTAGCCACAATGCGAGCACAACGGCGCCTTCTCTCGCAAGTTTGACCCTGGCGTCCCGCTGTGGGGCCATTCCACGCTTTGTTAGTATACTTTGGTTCGGTTTTCATGGCATGCGTACACTAGACCACTGTGTATCTGTGGCGTTCAGCCAGGCGTTTCAAAACCGAAAGGGAACGCATCCTGTCTGCGGGTGTAACAATAATCTTACCTCGGGTGAATGTGGGAGCGAGGTGCCGATCTTTTTAAGACACTTCTTTCCATGCAACGTCCAATAAGCATATCTGTCATAACACTTTACACACGTCGGGAAGGCTTCTTCAGTCTCTGTATTTGAGTTCCTGTGCCGGCCTATGTAAGGTTAAAGCTTACTCGTGTACAATCATCACACGCCGAGCTCCCAGTGGATAGCTCTGTTGCTCAGGTCCAACGCGTCCGACATCTCGCTCACCGCCGTGAGAACAGATAATGCCAGCGGCGTTAATATTTGCATGAGTCAGCTAAATCCCACGGCTGGTATATTGTCCTGTTATCCGCTGCGAATAGCACGTGACGTCCGAGGTCCCTGACGCCCGACGACGCTGCTCCCGGCTGTCTCGGCGTCTGACGCCACCTGCACCGTCCCCAGCAGGGGCCCACCCCATCGCTGTCGACGACGACGACGGGCAGCCGCTCGCCGGAGACGACAGAGCGGCCGGACTCGCTCGACCTCTCGCCCCCGGAGGGCCCGGCCTGCCTCTGGGGCAGCCAAGACTCCGTATTCGGCCTGCAGAGCATCCCGGAGGCCGACGAGGAAGTGGACGCGGCGGCCGTCGCCGGTGCTGTGGCCGCTGCGGTTTCGAACCGACTGGCGGCCGACGGCCAGCCCAGAGCGAGCCGCATGGCCGCCGGCGACGCGGCCGCGCAGACTGACGACGTCCCGAACGGTGGGCCGCCGCAGGGGAACGGAACAGAGGACGACGCCACAGACGTGCCGCCGCCGACCTCCTTCGCCTCCGCCTCCGCCTCCGACCCCGCCACGGACAGGCAGGAACCGGGACGTAACAGGCCAGTTCGCGTGCTCCAGCCACTGAACCTGCAGGCGGTGCGCTTCGCCGTGGACCCCGTGGAGCCAGATATGGATCCGGATGGGGAGCCGGCGGCGGCGCGGGAGGCGCCGGTGGTGCGCGTGGAGCAGGCGTGCTTCAGCTGGCGGCCGGACGGTGAGGCCGACACGCTGGCTGACATCAGCCTGGTGGTGCCGCGCGGCCGGCTCACCATGATCGTCGGACCGGTGGGCAGCGGCAAGTCGTCGCTGGTGGCCGCACTTCTCGGCGAGCTGCGCCGGAAGAGCGGCTCGGTCACCTGGGCCAGGTGAGAGGGAGACGCATCGCTGGCTGGGCTGCGGGGTGGCCGGGTGTCACAAGCTAAATGGTGCCATATGAGGAAACAGTAAGTCTTACTGATAAGCCTTTCAACCTTTCCCTGCCAGCACCTACCGGCGACATTCAGCACTGGGTCAGACTGACACGCAGTCCATGGCACTCCTGATGTCACTGTCGCCGCCGCGTTGCCCTGGCGCTGGTGAGCACGTTATTGTCGCCGCCGCGTTGCCCTGGCGCTGGTGCGCACGTCACTGTCGCCGCCGCGTTGCCCTGGCGCTGGCGCACACGTCACATCGCGCAACACCAGACCGTCGCGCCGCGGCCTCGCTCCGACTGAACCTCGTCTGCCGGCAGCTCGGCTCCACTCGCCTACGCCTCGCAGTCACCGTGGCTCTTCAACGACTCGCTGCGCAATAACGTGCTGTTCGGGCGAGGAATGAATCCGCGCCGCTACCGGCGCGTGCTGGCCGCCTGCGCGCTCGATGAGGACATCATACTGCTGGGGCCGGCCGGCGACAGCACAGTGATCGGCGAGCAGGGCGTCGTGCTGTCCGGTGGGCAGCGGCAGCGCGTGGCCGTGGCGCGCGCGCTGTACTCGAACGTCAACTGCGTCATTCTGGTGAGCCCAGGTCACGTGGTGGTGATTTCCTTGTGCGTCGGGTGTCCTGAATCATGTGCAATAGTGTCAGCCGTAGATTTCCTGTGCTTTGTTTATGACATCGGATATGCCGACGTTGAAACCAGAGTTCTCTGTAGACAGGCCTTGTGAGGTGACTGTTAATCCTGCGACCCGAGTGGTTCCGACTAAAATGAACTTTCGCCAGCCTGCTGGATAGGTCGAGCGGTTGTGCGGCGTCACATGTAGGTGACCGATCAGCGACTGGAACCGTGAATTTTCGCGCCCGCCGCCGCATTAATGTCAGCCAGATGCTGGCACAAGGTGTGGAGCGAAGAGACTTTTATGTGAAGCCGGATGGCGAGGCGTGGTCTTTCGAGTGTGCTCAATGATAGCTTGGTGGCGGCCTCTTGCTGCCCAGGACCGGCCGCTGCTCTAGGCTGCTGCATTGCTATCACTGCCCCACGTGCGCCAGAGCGTTTGTTTAGCACCAGCGCAGTATGCTCACTGCGCGTGCCCCAAACTGGCACTTTTCCGGCGACATGTCTTTGATTTAAACATTAACGTGAGGACACGCCTTCGGTTATTTGAATGGGGTCACGGCCTTGACCGAGGGCGTGGTCCCGTTTCAGGACGATCCGCTGTCCGCGCTGGACGTTCATGTCGGGCTGCACGTCTTCGAGAACGGCATCAGGAAGCTGTTGGTGCAGCAGGGCAGGACTGTCATCTTGGTCACACACAAGCTCCAGTATCTGAAGCACGCAGACCAGGTGTGGTTCAGGAAGTCGGCCTCGGGCCTATTCGTTGCACTGCGAATCCGACATTATAGGCTGACGGGATACCACTGTAGGAGTGGGGGGGGGGGGGGGGGACTGTTGGGAAGACTCTGCGCTGTCTTGCGACAACAGTTGGCAATGTGTTTTACAGCGTTCCTTATGAAAGATGGTAAACCGCTTACCCTCTGCTGCGGTAACTATTATAACACGGGTCATTTCTCGATGGCAGCATTTCTTGGAGCAAACGATTATATCCGTGACTAATTTCATTTCTGGATTTAGGAACGCATTGAGGCTTGCTCCACGGGGCACGGTTACATGATTCTATACGCTAAATTAATGTTGTTTTTTTTACTGATTTTTCATGATGCGTAGAATTTTACATGATTTAGCACGTACATGTGCACGTACATTTAGCAGGTCATTACTGTAATAGCTTGTGACGGCTATTTTTCCAGGATTTATAGGTATATGATGATGAAAAACGCATTCGAGGTGAAAAGTTAGGGACCGGTTTGATAGTCCTGACGATAAACCATAGATTTCACTTCTGCCCATCCTATTTTTTGAATGTTTCGAATTTAGCACTAATTTAACCTTTTCACGCCAGCATTATTAGACAGGGACCTAATTTAATACCACATATAAGTAGGCCATTTCAAGGGCGAAACTCATCTTGTGTCGCCAGATCTATCGAAGCAGCCGATAAACGTTACTCGGGGAGCATTTTTATTGAAGACACCGCAAATATTAAATGACACTAAATCAAGGGTTTCACTCCTGTGTATCATATTTCTCGAGTATTTCAGATTTGGTTTGAAATATGTCCTTGTCTTATAACATTTACTTGGAAAAACCTGTCTGCACAATGCAACATAACCTGGAATTTCGGTGACTCGGTCGTCCAGTCTCTTCACCGAACTCACTTGACTGAAGACACGTAGACCGCCGACTAAACTCGGCATCAATCCATTGATGCGTTTCATTGGTAAAGTAATGGTGGAGTGGAAGGGTCTCCTGCCGACGACATGGGCTTATCGATGTGGGCCTGTTTCAAGGTCTGACCAGCCTTGATTTTTGGTGCACATGTACGGAAGTGTTATCGGACAAAACATGGCATGATTTACTGCACTCGCACATTGGGCAAAATACAGCCTCGAGCAATTAGCTCACGTCGGATGGCGACGCCGTGCCTCGCAATGCATCTCCAACGTCATCTGAGAGGCAGCTTTGCCGCCATCCGACGGTGTACTTCTTAGTTGACGGTCCGACCCATTTCCTAACTTCCTCCCCAGTTGGCTGTCCCGTCCACGAGTCACGCCTCGGTGCCCGGTTGATAGCTACGTTCTTCGATGGCAGCCCCGTTTCCGGTTCATAACGCCGTGCCCGACTGATGGCTCCGCACCCAGATGATGGCCTCGTCCCCAGTTGAAGTTACACCCCATGTGACGGGGAGCCCCGTCCATTCGTGGCGATCACGTCCCCATATGGCAGCCCGTCGCCGGTAGCAGTCTATCCCCAGATAACAGCATGCTGCCAGTAGCAGCCCGTCCCCAGATAACAGCCCGTCGCCGGTAGCAGCCCGCCCCCAGAAAGCGGATCCGTTTCCAGCAGCGCCGCTCCCTGCCCGACTGACGGCGCCCGCTGGCGGTAGGTGGTGGCGCTGGAGCGGGGCCGGGTGCGGCAGCAGGGCACCTTGGCCCAGATCGCCGAGGCCGACCCGGAGCTGTACCGGCGCTGGCAGCAGCTCATCCAGCTGAACCAGCAGCAGGAGAACCAGGAGGCGGCCGCCGAGACGCGGACGGCCCGCGAGCGCTGGCGCTTGCTGCAGAAGATCCAGAAGGCCAGCCGGCTCATGACGGTTAGTGAACGGGCCCGCATCTAGCGTGAGACGCGGTGGTGCGGACAGGTCTGGGACAGAAGTCGCCCGCCGGGGCCGGCCTCACTGGGGCGGACAGGTATGGCATATACTGGTAACAGCATACTTGCCAGCACAAGTTACAAGCCTAGCAGCGAACATCATGCGATGGCGCGCTTTTACCTGAACTCGTTCCTGAGTGGTGTCGTTGATTGGCGTTCTTCCCCCCCCCCTCCGCGGCCCCCGTGTGAAGTACAGACCGGGCTGTGCCGGCACGGTGCGCGCTCCTCTGAACGCCGCGCGTTCCCGCCCACAGGCGGCGCCGGCCGTCAGCCGCGACAAGTTCTCGTCGTTCCGTCGCGCAGCGCTGGGGCGGCGCTCGTCGCTGCGCCACCACATGTCGCACGGGCTGCCAGTGCCGCTGGACGTGGGCAGCGACGATTACGGCGCGGTGCCTCGGCGGCGCGCCACCACCGGCGGCCGCCGCGGGCCGGCGGCCGGCCTGGCGCTCAGCGTGCGCCGCCGCCTGTACCGCCGCTCCAGTTCGCTGGGGCCGCAGGCGCCGGGCGCCCCCAGCCAGCCCAGCACGCCCGACACGCCGGCGGAGGACGCCGAGCGCCGGTACGAGTCCCTGCGGCTGCAGCGGATGGTGTCGTCGCCGCCTAACATGCCGTCGCCGCTGGTGCCGGCGCGGGGCTCCGTCTCGGACTCGGGTCGCCAGCTGCTCAACCTCCTGCTGCGGAGGTGAGCTGCTGAGGATGTGAGCTGCTGAGGAGGTGAGCTACTGAGCCGCCCGCTGCGGGGGTGAGCTGCTGAGCAGCCTGCTGCGAAGGTGAGCTGCTGAGCCGCCCGCTGCGGGGGTGAGCTGCTGAGCAGCTTGCTGCGGAGGTGAGCTACTGAGCCGCCTGCTGTGGAGGTGAGCTGCTGAGCCGCCTGCTGCGAAGGTGAGCTGCTGAGCCGCCCGCTGCGGAGGTGAGCTGCTGAGCAGCCTGCTGCGAAAGTGAGCTACTGAGCCGCCTGCTGTGGAGGTGAGCTACTGAGCAGCCTGCTGCGAAGGGGAGCTACTGAGCCACCTGCTGCGGAGGTGAGCTGCTGAGCCGCCTGTTGTTGAGGTGGGCTGCTGGCCGGCCTAGTGGTATGGTGTGCGCCTCAGTACGGCAAGACTGGGATGAGGGCTGGTGGCGCTGATCGCTTTTTAGAGCTATGCTTACGTGCTATGGGTTCGCTGGCAGGTGGAAGCTTCCGGTGGCCCGTTCCGAGGGATCCGTGCTGGCTCTTATGTCATAGAAAATAGTTTTGATGCGGTCATTGGTGTTTTATGCGCTTACTTTATGGTCGCGTAATTTCAGCGCCGCAACAAGGTTGTTTCGTTGGCTTGCTCTATAAGTCTCCAATTACATGGAGCACCACCATCCCTCGCTGCCCTGAACGCCTGCCTCTCACCAGCCCCGCCGCCCTGACCGCCTGCTTCCCCCTGTGGCAGGAGCACAACCAGCTCTCGTACGTCGCCTGTCGACCCCGAGCGTGACGTACCACCCGAGCAGATGGCGCCACTAGTGCCGGCCGACCCGCCGCCGCCGCCGCGGCCCCAGCTGACACGCGCGCTCTCCATCGCCTCCAACTACAGCGAGATGTACCGCGACGAGGAAGAAGGTGAGCCAGGCTGCCACCAGTGCCGAGACATGGAGGCTGCACAGGTTGGCGGCGGAGGTTCCACAGGCCCGCGGTGGAGGTCCCACAGACCCTCGGTGGTGGTCCCACAGGCCCGCGGTGGAGGTTCCACAGACCCTCGGCAGAGGTCCCGTAGACCTTCGGCAAAGGTCCCACAGACCCGCGGTGGAGGTCCTACAGACCCTCGGCGGAGGTCCCACAGGCCCGTGGCGGAGATCCCACATGCCGCGACGGAGGTCCCACAGGCCCGCGGTCTGTTCGACGAAGAGCTGTCTGTCGTGATCTGACACGGATGTAGTTACAGATTAAAGCGCGTTCTCTGACAAATGATTTTGTTGGGTTTTTCCTAATGCATATGCATGAAATGAAACGTTGGCTTAGCGCTCTTGTATATCTTCAGTGCCGTATTTGATTTATTGATTTACTTTAAATGTATCGGTCTGGCGCATCATTGATGAGTTGGATCGTTCGATAGATGGTGCATTTCAAGCACAATGAAGACGTCTGTACTCTGTGTGTGCAAATATTCATATAAGGCTTATATAGTTCCGGATCCGCATCTTCGCTTGCACTAAGCTACGCTCTTATGCTATTTACCGTTTCCAGAGTCTGACCTGGACTCAAGACGCTTTCTAGACGAAGACAGGGAAAAGGGCAAGATTTCAAAGCTGGTGTACATCACGTACATGAGGGCGTGCGGATTGGGTTTTGGCATTTTGTACCTCACCATGGTTCTGCTTACTCAGGGTGAGTAGATAATGCCAGACCTCTACCTTATTCACTGATGGCTCTTCAGCCCTTCATGGGGGGGAAGGGGGGGGGGGGGGTAGTAGCCTCTCCCCGGATTGTGGAAATGACTGCTGAGTTGCACCAGTAAGGTCCACCAAATTTTCAGCATACCCGATGGGTGATTAATTAAACACGCCCTGGACCGAACCCAGTGTTGGTGTTTGATCGGGCCGCCCTCAGCCGTGGATTGCAAGACGGACCAAACTTAGTCTACTGCCAATCGGTTCAAGCCAGACCTATCACTCCCCATTATGCTTGAGTATTGAGGCTCCACAACTTCACAGACATGTAGCCTTTCCATTTATGCTACGGTGCATGTCACTGCCATTCAAGGGTCGTCGTGTGAACAACGGTCGTCTGTTATGTCACCGACTGCTGCATGAACTGCAAATACAGCCACCACGACCTCGCGACCGCCTGACTAGCGCGCGGCACCGCCCACCGCCAGGCGCACACGTGGGCACGGACGTGTGGCTGAGCAGGTGGAGCGAAGCGGCCAGCCAGTGGAACCGCAGCCACAAGGACCAGTGGCAGCAGCTGGCTGGCGGCAACGCCACTCCCGCGAGCGCCGTGGAGCCGGAGGACGTGTCGGACGCGTATGAGGCGTTCATGGCGTCCGAGACGCGCTCCTACCTGCTGGTGTACGGCGTGCTGTCGGCCGTCGCCGTGCTGCTCGCGCTGGCTGCCAACCTGAGCGGCCAGTGGGCGGGTGCGCGCGGGCGCCGCAGCCTGCAGCGCCGCCTGCTGGCCGCCGTCACGCGCGCCCGCAAGGAGTTCTTCGACCGCACGCCGGCCGGCCGCATCATCGACAGGTTCGCCCAGGACGTCAGCTTCATCGACAAGGTGCGAGAGAGCGGCGATGGGGGCAGTGGGAGGAACTGGGAGAGGCCGCGGGAGAATGTGGAGGTCATGGAGGGTAGTGCGGTTAATCGAAGGCGCTGGAAGGCCGGAATACCGGAAGGAATAGCTAGTAGGTGGTGGGACGCAGTAGAGGTCACTACGATGCGTTGGATGGCGGTTGCAGGAGACGGGGGTGATGGGAGGCCCTAGGAGACGGCGAGAGATGCTAGAGTCGATGAGAGACGGAGGATGCTGCTGGGAGGTGCGGGAATGGTGGAGGCAGGGCTCAAGATGTGGCCTGGTGTCTGTGGTACTCTGTTATCTGTTATCTGACAGTCTCTGTGATAGCGTGGAATGTCTGCGAGATTTGCCATTGCACTCTCGCTTGTGGTGATGCATTCGTATGACCGCCTTTCGGAAACGACTTTTAGCAGCAGAAACTTAAAGTTGCTGTCTCCACCGTAGGGTTTCATTGATCTCTTCCGCCTTGCTTATTCTCGTATATCCTTATGTCCTTATCGTGCATTATCGTCTAAACATGTTTACGTACAAATATTTTTTCGCATTAAGTTGTAGATCAAGGGCTACCATGGTATGTGCGACGTAAATTTTGCAGTGTGTGGGTGGGGGGGGGGGGGGGCTTAGCAACATGGCTTGAATTGGGTGATCCCAAGCAAGCTAGCTGGATGCCTAAGGAGCGCAATCCGTGACATGACTAGTTCTGGCTCATGTTCGAAACGGTGTTACGCATGACTTAGCTGGTACTTCTTCCTTACACTTAAGTGCGGAAGTCCTGACATTTTAAAAATCAATTGGTGCGGCCGGAATGGCAAGGATGTCCCCAAACGTGCCTGTGAGTGGCGACTTCTAAGTGGATGCATAAATTTAACGCTGGCGTTCTCTTTCCACAGAAATTGGCAACTGAGATACACATGCTGCTTTTCTTCGTCCTTCAGTGCTTGACAGCAGTAATAGTGAACGTCGTCGTGACCTGGTGGTTCATCTTCATCGCACTGTTCATCACCGTCATCTACTACTTCCTGCAGAGATTCTACAGAACATTCGCCATGTGGGTGACCGCGCTGTTGATAACAGCCTCCGTTGATTGCTTGGTGCGTTATGTGACCACCGGTACAGCATCTCTCTGTCTTCAAATCGTTCACTGCACATTATTTTTATCATTGTTCAACGTATTACACGAAATTACATTTTTGTTCGTAGATGTTGGAGTCCTTACGTCTGCTGGCTTGTTGCGCGTGCCATTTGCCCTCCGCCCTGGCGGAGCATCTCCAACTCATGTGATCTTTTCCGAATGATTTCGCCTTGCCACGCCTGGTCGGGGCACAATTTCCACGCGCCAGCGTGATCGCCCTAGTAATGTGGAATTGAAGTGATCACCTGTATGTGTCGTTTTAGGTACTTATACGCACGACCATGCACATGCCAAATGTGTATCCTCATCAACGACAAGTTCCCTGAATATTGCATTACATGAAGCCGCGTATTTATGTTAACATTTGGATTCCCAGGTCATAGCCTTGGGGTCAAATCAGGTCAAACGAGGTCAAAATCCACATTGGTGTCCAAGGTGCCCCCAGTACCTAGACGCGTGTTCTAACCAAAAGGCCATTGGCGCTCATTTAATGTCGGTAACCTTGTTTTATCTTTCGCAGGTCGTAGTGACCAAACTCATTCAAGACTGCTTTTTTGCATTGCATTTGAATAAGCGTCAAGTATTACGCTAGGGAGAATGTTTTCCTGAACCAAAATGCTAACGTGGGTCATTTTAGATCAGTGACCTCTCCTGACATGTAAGAAGTCCATGGGAGATTTACAATGCGGTTCCTATTATCAATGAATTCAAAATGAGCACTAGAAACTTCCGCGCACAACAAGCTTTCCAGTAGTAAAACAGATTGGTCTTCACCTTTGTCCGACGTCCATGCCTGACTCTTGGTCCATGGAATATAGTCTCTCAGTTGTTGTGTTGCCTAAAAAATTAACTTACAGATGTCTGGCCTTGTCTAACATTCCGTTGTTGCATCAGATTGGATGATTTCTTAGACATTGTCTTCGTTGATTCCATGGCTGACTGACCTCCCCTAGGTTAGCGACCTTACAAGGTACGCCTAAATTTCGAATATCGAACGATCCGCTATTCAATCGTCTACAGCTATGCAAAATGTGGCGTGGCTGCGCTGCGCCGTTCGGGAACCATTTTAGAAAAACCTTCGGGGGCCAAATTGACCCCGACCGGAGCGCGTATCAAGACATCCATAGACCGTATGAGGTGCTCGCAGACAGCAGCGCTGTTTCGCAGACCAGTTGGCGAGGTTAACAGTGAACTAAATGGCAAAACCTGCCCCGAAAATACGCCCACAAGTGGAATTCTCTCCGGATTTGGCCCGCTTTCTTCTCAAAGATGTGGTCTGGAGCCCAAACTGGGGTCACTTAGACTGAATGGAAACTGTCTCCGTGTGCAAAGACAGTCAGAGTAGGCCGCTGGAGACGGTATTTCTTCAGAGGAGGGAAAAATAGGCATCGTACCCAATGACGTAACCAGGCCGGGGCAAAATTGGGGTGCAAGGGCCCTTTCAGCCAAGCAGTCCGCTCCGTTGCTATAAAAGGGCCTTGATTGTGTATTTGGAATGTTTGTAATGTTTGGGATCCCACTTTGGTTCCTTTAGGCCCCTTTTTGTGTTTTAGAAACCTCACGGGCGTCTTAAACCGCCAAAACGATCCCAGACATTCGCTCCCGGGGAGCCTCGCCGCCTCCAAGGGCAGAGGGAGCTACATGACCACAAACGTCTTCCCGTGTTGCCTACGCCATTCTACGCAACATAATCCACCTACACACGGAACATATATTTCTCTGACCTGGCCTTAGTCGCATTCTTCACTAATCGATTTTTGAAGGGTTGAAAACAAAACGAGGCTTAAGCGGAAGCAGGTTCGAGACGGGCGCAAGCCTGTTTGAAGTCCATTGTACCGCTAGCTGCCTAAAGAAATAACGCACTTTTTTACTCTTTTGAATTTCAACCATTGTCTTAAAGCGTAAGACATTGAAACATTATTTTCGGACGACCCATGGCGCGACGTATGAAAGCAGGGCATTCCGACTCATTGATGAACGATAAACCATCCGCAAATGTACGGAAAGAACGACATGCATAGTATGACACGTAGGCCATCAGCTTCCATCATCAACGACTTACCATCCCGCGCTGGCGTCTGTCTGTAAGTCGGCCCGCCTCTCTGACGCTCTCACCGGCTCACAGTGAGCTGCAGCGGCTGGACCACATCGCGCGCGCGCCCGTGCTCTCTCACCTGGCCGAGACGCAGGCCGGTCTGAGTGTGGTGCGCGCGTACGGCCACCAGAAGCGCTTCTTCGCCACGCTGCTGCAGTGCGTCGACCTTCACCTGCTCACCTCGCTGGTGTACGAGTCGGGCCAGCGCTGGCTCGGCATCGCGCTGGTCAGTCGGAGGGGGGACGGGGACGGAGGTAGCTGGCGGCCGGCTGCCGCTGCCGCAGCGCTCGGGTGTTCTGGTTCCTAGACTATTTCTCGGCGTCTTTGACTGACATAGGCTCAAATGTTCGTAGGACGATATGTGCGCGTCATCAAGACTGCCAGTCGCAGAAAAGTGAAAGAGACAGAAGGCATAAAAACACGGAATGAATCGTAAGGGAATCGTTGAGACAAAGTTTTATGAAATCACACCTCCTGAGTAAACCATGTCCGAAAGGACAAAGAGGATACGAGCAGAGACAAAAGGGCAAGCAGGCGTCATTTACAACATAAACAAGACTCGCGGCGGTGTAAACAGTGTCTCCGGGATGAGCTGGCGGCAGTGTGGTCGTACGGCCCTCCTAAGCACTTCATGTGGGTCGGTCTGTTGCAGGACTACCTGGGGGCTGTGATCGTGTTCGTGTCGAGCGTGTCGGCCGTGACAGTGGCCGTCACCAGCCGGGAGCGCGTGCCGTCGGCTCTCATCGGCCTGGCCATCAACTACACCCTGCTCATCCCCACCTATCTGGTGTGGGTGGTGCGCTCGCTCAGCGTCGTCGAGATGTACATGTGCGCCGTGGAGCGCGTGCACAAGTACACCATGCTCAAGGCGGAAGACTACAGGAAGAAGGCTCTCGGTGGGTGGAGGGAGGGAGAGAAGGGAAGTGAGGAGGTTCGACACCGTTTGAACTCTTGACCTCTTGAGGGATACTGTTTTTTTATAATTCGTTTCAACAATTGACACTCTAATGCAGCGCAATGGTCTCCAAATATGCTTTCGGTTTGTTCAAAATTAACACCACATCGAAAAAATCAGTTTCATGCACCAATAATGCGGGCTGGGTTACGAACTATTATAGCGACTTTTATTGACAGTCAACTCACATGACATTGACACCTGTCTCCAAAACGTCGTTTAAATAGTAAGGTCACCGGCATTTCGTATGCCAGTTGTATAAATTATGGACCATGCTTAAAGTGGGACTGACCAGCCAGACAGACCTAGTATGCTGCTGTAGCGCAGCCGTCAGGCGACGGGCGGCCGCCGCTGTCGAGTGTCCGCCGCCGTCATGTCCGCCGTGCATGCGTCCCGCCGTCATGTCCGCCGCCGTCATGTCCGCCGTGCATGCGTCCCGTCGAGTGTCCGCCGCCGTCATGTCCGCTGCGCATGCGCCCCGTCGAGTGTCCGCCGCCGTCATGTCCGCTGCGCATGCGTCCCGCCAAGTGTCCGCCGCCGTCATGTCCGCTGTGCATGCGTCCCGTCAAGCATCCGCCGCCGTTTCGTCTGCCGTCGGCCGCCGGCTGACCGGCAGGACCCTCTGACGCCCGCTCCCTCTGACGCCCGCTCTCGCCCGCCGGCAGTGGCGCCTGATTGGCCGCGACAGGGCAAGATCGAGTTCATCGGCGCCAGCGTCGGCTACTCAGGCGAGGACACGGCCATCGTCAGGGTGCTCAAGGATGTCAGCGTCACCGTCCTGCCCGGCCAGAAGGTGGGGTCGCCGCGCGGAACTTCCAGCTGGCGTCAGCGCAGCACCGTTTGTCGGTGACAGCTGATCATTGAATGCATATAATCTGCTGTAATGCCCCAGCTACAAAGTTGAGCGGAGCTTGTGGGTGGACTCCATTGTTGTGCTGGTGGCAGACATCCCTTGGATTGAGTGGGATTGTGATCATATGGTAGAATATGCAACTGTAACGTAACTGCACCGAGTATCGCATCGCACCGGTACTCCTCCAGCGTTCCTTCACACCTTGCCGGAGATCATAATTTTGTAATGCCTCAGATTATAACTGTTATTAGGGACGTAACATATTCTTGTTTGCCGCTGATAAACTGCAAGTCTACAAGCTGCACATATGCAGCATTGGTTGCGACCATCGCCTGCGTCCAGGTCCTACCCAACCTCGAAAGTTACTCTGTTTGCCCACAGGTGGCTCTGGTGGGCCGGTCGGGCAGCGGCAAGTCGACTCTGGCCATGGCCCTTTTTCAAATGTCGGATCTGCTGGAGGGCGTGATCCGGATCGACGGCATGGACCTAAAAAGCGTGCCTCTGCACTCGATCCGCTCGCAGGTGGCGCTGATACCTCAGGAGCCGCTCCTGTTCTCCGGCACAGTCAGGTCAGACGACACAGCGGAACCGTTGGCCCAAATAGTTTATTCTACCCCGATTTGGCCACTCAGCGTGGGACAAATGAATGCGGTGGAACTTAACGTGCTCTAACAATCAAAGATCTAGTGTCTGGGCGCTGCTGCATATATGCGCTTTTTGGAGAAAAAACGTGTTACACATTGCGCATCCAACGCACAGTCGCATCCGCTGTGTTGGTAATCGTTCGTTGGACCTTAACCGTCACTTCGAACCCAGCCGCCCTGCTAGTTTGACCTTTGGCGCCACTTTGGACCCAGCCGCCGTTCTGGTCTGACCTTTGACGCCACTCGGCTGACCTCGAGGACCCCTTGGAGACGTACACCTTGTCGGTTCGGCGCGCGGGCGCCATCATGGTGGCATTCCCAGTGTTGGCTCAAGCGGTTCTGGCATTGTTCCTGCTTTTATTTCAGATCAAACCTGGACCCGAAGTTTGACATACAAGACGAAGAAATCTGGAGGGCTCTTGAGCTCGTACAAATGAAGGAGTATATAAAGAAGCTAGGGAAAGGTTTGGGTAAGTTCGATGAAGCATGTCTCTGGATGTTTGTTGCGCAGGGCTGTCAACCGGAGTTGACAGGCGCAGATTTACCTTCGTTGCCACGTTTTCGACTTTTTTTTCTCACAGCACAGTCATGAAATGCCTTACTAAGGCACACAACAGACCTGGCTAACTAACTAAAGAGTGTTTTTTACCACAAACACTTGGTGGCGGTGTGCCCCAGTGCCTGCTGGCTCCGCGGCGCCGCCCGCCCCACGTGACCGGCGGTGCGCCCCCTGGCAGAGTCGGAGGTGCAGGAGGGCGGCGACAACTTCAGCGTGGGACAGCGCCAGCTGCTGTGTCTGGCGCGCGCGCTGCTGCGCGGCGCGCGCGTCGTCGTCATGGACGAGCCGACCAGCTCGCTGGACGCCGAGACGGAGCGCAAGGTGCAGGCGATCGTGTGGAAGGCGTTCGAGAAGAGCACGGTCATCACGATCGCGCACCAGCTGACCACCGTGCTCGACTACGACCAGCTGCTGGTGCTGCAGGACGGCCGGCTGGCCGAGCAGGGGCCGCCCCGCCAGCTGGCCAACAAGCGAGGCGGTTTGTTTGCCGGTATGCTGCGCGCCGCGCTCGACCAGGGCGCGTCCCTCACAGACAGGCTGACCTGAGGTCGAGCTGGCGGCGGTCGGCTGAGCTCGACCGGCACGCCTGTGACCTCATCGGCGACGCCGCGGCGTCGATGACTTGCGAGATACTCGGGCCAGTTTCGTGTCGCGTGTGCAGAGAAGTATCTTTAGAGCATTCGGAGGGCGGATCAACCTGAGAGTTCCGCGCTCTGGCCGATCGTGGAACTCGAAAACGGAGATACAGCCCCAGCGATGAGCCTTCAAGCGTACTGCTAGCTTTTATATAATACAAGTGCTATTTTATGACAACGAGCGGCGTCTTACCACGCATCACATAATGCACAGCCCTGCTCCCGAAGCCTGGCCAGCTAGTGAAACATGTTGGGCCATCGGTAGAGACGGTGCGGCCTGAGCACAGCACCACAGTAGTCAGGCAGTGGACATACCCCGTGAGAACGCCCTCCCGATCTGGCCACGTGTTGACTTGGTATCGCCCGGGCGCCGTCCACTGCCGTACCAGCTCGCTGCAGCGGGCAGTACTCGCTCCCAGCTCCCCGTCGCCCAGCCAGCACCGCTGACCCCGCCCGTGACAGACAATTGCACTGCACGGCCGCGGTTTATTCGGCACCGGCATGCGCAGGCGCCCAGGGGAGCGGCCTTCTCGGCCGCGCCCGGCCGGGCACAGCCTGCGACCGCGCAAAACGACGTACCACGACGTACCGACGTACCACGACGTACCGTACCGCGACGGTCAGTCATATTGGGTTGACATTTGATGGCCACCTGGCGGCGGCAACATGAACCGCGGCACACGGCTGGGGCAATCTCCACTGCGTGTAACGGTACAACCAGCCGGCGACTGCGCGCACAACTAAACCAAACATTCGGAGTACGTTGCCGGGCGCGCTTAAGAGAAGACAACATTCTAACCTGACCAGACACGAATTTGCGTGAACGTCCTGTTTCGCCGCGGTGGAGATTTTCCCATCCGGCGCCTATTGCGGACAGCGCACACGCATCACCACTGACGCCGCGCGGGCCGCACTCCGGGGGCGACCGCGCGGCAGACGCGCGCTCGAAACGAGGACCGCGCCGGCCGCCGCCTCAACACAGCACCGCCCGTACAGGCGTTTGTACAACGATTGCACACTCGGCTCGAGCCGAAGCAAGGCATCCTGAACCGGTCCGCTCGGCGCCGAGAGGTGGTGAGCGAACACCGAGATCCGGTGGCGGATGACTGCGACACAAACACGCCAGGAGACATGGACCCAATCTTCGGGTGCGCCCTGATACATCGTCTTATCCGGGGGACGCTTCCCTCCCGTCTTGTTGTATGAGTCGTCAGTCGGGGTTGCGCGCAGAATGAGTAGCCGAGGGCGATTGAAGTCGAGTTTGAAAGCACGCTTTGGCTCCTGAGAGCAATTTGAACGCCCAGCAAATACGTGACGCCGGGCCGCCTATTACTTTTCTGGATGCAACCCCTCACTACGTATTGCACGCCCTTGTTGCACTTCGAGGATGGCCGCTAGATTACAACAATCTATGATACCCTAGTTTACAATATTCATAAGCGTATAATCCAGTTCCAAAGGGCGGCTACAACAAACAGACCCGTAACTTCGGGTGCACACTAACCTAAACGGCGCGGTGCAGCCACGCGGGCCCACCTTGCACCGGTGGCCGTCAAAAGCCTCAGAGATGTCGATCACGCCCCGCACGGGCGGGGTGGACCCACGCTAAGCTCGTGCACCCCTGAGGGCGGGGCCTGCCGCAGCCGCAGGCGGCAACGGTCCGCGCTCTCAGTCCGGACCGTCGCCTCATACTGACTGGGAGTCGCCGCCCGCAGGCTCAGCTCCAGTAATTCGGCAAGAATTGTAGACGCATATCACTGTGGCTGGGCGTGGCTGGGCCACCGCGGCACCTGAGCACCTCGCAGCAGATGCGGCGGAGGGGGAGACAACAACACAGACACACGCGTGACGCCGAGCCGGGCGCGCGGCGAACCGTGCCCGCCTGCTCGCGGGCGGCGGGCGAGGAGCACGCTCCCCACCATCGCTACGCTGCGAACTGAACCAAGACAAAAGCTGTACAAAAAGAACGCGGGAAAACCCCTGGTAATGGTCTGCAATGCAGACGGCTCGTCACCAATATGTATATATACATAAATCAGGAAACAGCTCATGAAAGACGCCGCCACCACTGTGTGAACCACTGACCTCTTTACATTCACCCGCACGGCACGTCCCGCGCATTATCTCCTGTTAGGAGGCACACCCGGCTGGCACGTGCAGCCGTCCGACGGCGGGCGCTCAGTACCGACACTCGCCGGCCGGCCCCACGGCTCGGCCCGTGCGCGGCCCGCTCGCGCCGGCGGCGGCGGCACAGCACAGGCGCCCGGCGACGGCGCGGGCCGCCTGCCTCCAGGCAGACCGCAGAGATTCACTGTTGGGCAGGCCGCACTCGCCGCCGCTGAGATGCCCCTACGATTGACGCGCGTCTTCGTGGCCAGAGCTCCGCAGTCGACCGAGACGCGCCCGGCGAGCACGCGAAGAGCAGCCGTCGGCCCGACGGCCGCTTTCCAGCCGGCCGCGCAGCTGGTGCGCCACACGCACGCTGATGTTCCCCCGATCGTGTGTCTATTCTGAAAACGGGACACGGCGCGCGTGAGATGCTGGCTAGGACGGAGTCTTCATCACTCACGCACAACCTGAGTTTCAGTCACAACTCATCCTCACCTACATCTCCAAGCCGGTCCTCGTCACGTGCCCCCACCTAATCTACGACGCAAAGAGCGCGACACCAGCATCAGCTAGCCACCAGCTGATCCGCTAGGTTATACTTCTCGAGACGCCGGCCAGCTGCCAATAGATCACCAGCAGTAAGACTGCCGCTGCTCTCACCGTGATCGCCGTTAATGTACTCGATGAGGCCCATGCCCTTGGGCATGTCGGCCAGCGGGTCGTCGGTCGGGGCGGCGGTTGGTGGCGGAGCCGCCTCGCCCCACATCGGGTCGCTGCGAGCGGCCGGCACGGCCGCCGGCGGCTGCGGCGGCGGCGGCGGCGGCGCCCGGTTGTCCCCCTGCAGAGCGTCGGCCAGCTGCTCCGGCGTCCAGGAGCGCACCTCGGCCGCCGCCCACGCCTGCAGCTCCTGCTGCGGCGCCTCCGGCCATGCCAGCGTCGCCTTGGCGGCGGGCGCGGCGGCCCAGACCTGCGGCGCCGGCTTGACCTCCGCCTGCGCCGTCCAGACGGACGCGGCCGGCGTCTCCGCCGGCGGCGCGGCCGGCGCGGGCCACGTCTGCACAGCCGACTCCGTTGGCGGGGACCATGCCACCGGCGCCGCCGACTCCGGCGCCACCTCCTGCCAGCGGGGCACCGCCGCCGCCACAGACTCCGCCTTCTCCGGCCAGACCGGCGCACGCTCTTCTGACGCAGCCACCTGCGGCTGCCAGCAGTTCTGCGGGGTTGTCTCCGCTTGCGCCTGAGACGGCCATGTGCTCTGCATGGCCGTCTCGGCCTGTGGTGGCGCGGCCCAGGCGTTCTGGGTGGGTGTCTCAGACACCGCCGGCGCGGCCCAGGCGTTCTGAACTGCCGTCTCCTCCTGTGACACCCATTTGCTCTGCACCGGTGTCTCCATCTCAGACTGGGAAGACCAGGCGTTCTGTGCTGTCGTCACCTTCTCAGGCTGCGGTGACGTCCAAGCGTTCTGCGCAGCGGGCGCCGTCTCAGCCTGAGATGACGGCCAAGCATTCTGCACGGCGGGCGCCGTATCAGCCTGTGGTGACGTCCAGGCGTTCTGCGCGGCGGGCGACGTCTCAGCCTGAGGTGACGGCCAAGCATTCTGCCCGGCAGGCGCCGTATCAGCCTGTGGTGACGTCCAGGCGTTTTGCGCAGCAGGCGCTGTCTCGTCCTGCGGTGATGTCCAGGTGTTCTGCGCGGCGGACGCCGTCTCAGCCTGCTGTGATGTCCAGGCGTTCTGCGCAGCAGGCGCCGTCTCAGCCTGTGGTGACGTCCAGGCGTTCTGCGCAGCAGTCGCCGTCTCAGCCTCCTGTGATGTCCAGACGTTTTGCGCAGCAGGCGCCGGCTCAGCCTGTGGTGACGTCCAGGCGTTTTGCGCAGCAGGCGTCGTCTCAGCCTGCGGTGACGTCCAGGCGTTCTGCGCGGCGGACGCCGTCTCAGCCTGTTGTGACGTCCAGGCGTTCTGCGCGGCGGGCGCCGTCTCAGCCTGCTGTGATGTCCAGACGTTCTGAGCAGCAGGCGCCGTCTCAGCCTGTGGTGACGTCCAGGCGTTTTGCGCAGCAGGCGCCGTCTCAGCCTGCGGTGATGTCCAGGCGTTTTGCGCTGTTGTCACTGTCTCAGCCCGCGGTGATGTCCAGGCGTTCTGCGCGGCGGGCGCCGTCTCAGCCTGTTGTGACGTCCAGGCGTTTTGCGCAGCAGGCGTCGTCTCAGCCTGTTGTGACGTCCAGACGTTCTGCGCGGCGGGCGCCGTCTCAGCCTGTGATGATGTCCAGGTGTTCTGCGCGGTCGTTGCCGTTTCAGCTTGCGGTGATGTCCAGGTATTCTGCGCTGTTGTCACGGTCTCAGCCTGCGGTGATGTCCAGGCGTTCTGCGCAGTTGTCACCGTCTCAGCCTGTGGGGATGTCCAGGCGTCTTGCACTGCTGTCGCCGTCTTGGTCTGTGCCGTCCATGTGTCGGCAGCGGCCGGCTCGGCGACGGCCGCCAGGGCCGGCTCGGCGGCCGCCAGCGTTAGCGTCGGCGACTGGAAGAGCGGTGTGCCGGCCGCCGCTGCCACCGGCAGGGTGACTGTGACGAACACGCTCTGCTCGGGCCCCGAACTCACCACCGGCACCACCATCGTCGATACCGCTGCCGGCACGGCGGCGCCGGCGTCAGTCAGCGTGAGATCATAGATACAGCGGGCGACAGGAGTATGCGACAAGCAAAACACGCAGAGCTCGGCGCTTCCAAGATGAGAAACGCGGAAGCAGCAAGCACACAGAGAGCCCCGGACAGACCACGCACTGGAGATTGGAGGACAACCGCATTCTCGGGGGCATGTAGTAACGGCGCGGCCCCTAGCCTGCGGGTAGTGTTCGCGCGGTCGGCACCTGGCTCGGTCCGGGCCGTGTGTCCATGATGATCTGTGGCGGGTCGGTTGGTCTCGTCGGTCGGCACCGCGGCCGGCTGTTCCTGCCGCGGCGCGCTGCTTCCCAGCAAGATCTCTCCGGTCTCGGCGAAATGGCGATTTATCGCTACGGCGGCTGTCGAAAGGAGCGCTGTCAGGACGGAGCGGCGAGGCTCGAGACAGGCCTCCGCCGACCCCGGGCGACCGGCCTCGGTTGGAACAGTTTCGCGGTCAATGCGCTGGTTGTGGAAACGCCGCCTCCGGGGCAAAAGCCACAGAGGCGGCAACGTTAGTTAAAACGTTCCAACGTCTCCAGAAACGACGTCAAGCAAGGCCGCTATCAACGCAGACCGCCGACCAGCAGCACGCTAGGCTCGCAGTGAAAGTCTAAGAGTCCAGTTGTCGTCATGGCCGCAGCCTTTGAACACCCATGACGTTAACACGGGAAAATCCAGACAGCATAGAACAGAGAGTGACAAGCCCGGCCTTAGGTCAGCCTCCGAACGTTGGCCTGTCACACGGAGCCCGCGGCGCCGGCCGGGCGGGCTCACCTTGTGACACGCCGTTCGGCAGCTGCCGGTCTCCGCCGGCCGACTCACTGCGAGCGGGGGGCGGGGGCAGCTCTGCAACAAGCGGAGGGTCAGCGCGCGCGGCCGGACGACGGCGCCGTCTGCCGTGCAGCCGCGGCGCGGTGGGGCGGCGGGCGCCAGCCTGCGCCCGGGCCGAGCGGCCGTGCCGGGCGCAGGCCGCCAGGCGCCCGCCTCGGCCGCCGGGCAACGGCCGGCCAGCGCCGCGCGGCGCGGCCGCTGCCGGCGCGTCGGCGCTGACCGGGCCGCCACCCGGCGTCACGCAGTCCCGGCAGGCGCGGACCTCCCACTCTCACACAGCGCACACGCACACGCCCGGGACCCACGCCGACACCCGTCCCGCGCCGGCAGCCGGCGGCGCAGCCGACACCCGCCCCAAGCGCCGCTCCGGCGCGCCACGCCACACTCAGCAACCGCACGGCACACGGCACACTCGCGTCGGCAGACAGACGCCACGCGCTCGGAGGGACGCGCGCGGCAGAGACCCGCCGCGGCCGGGCGCCGGTGCCGGCCGCCGCCGGCGCGCGACTGAGGGTCGGCGCCGCGGCCGGCACCAGACGCGGCGCGCGGCGCGCGGGGCCGGGCGCTCCTCAGCCCGGCGCCGCGCGCCTCCGACCATTCCTACAGGGAAGGGCGGGCCCCTGCCGAGCGCGGCAGCCGCGCTCGCTCGCACACCCACGCACAGCACAGGCACGCACAGGGCCCGCGGGCGGGCATCGGGAGGTCCGCGCCTTGGGAGCGGGCGCGGCCGCGGCCCCGTCGCCGCCAGCGAGGGCGCCGCCGCCGCGCCCCAACGACATCGCATCGGCATCGCGGCGCGCGCACGGCATCACGTCACACGGCCGGGGCTCGCAAGGCAAGTCACGGGGCTGCAGCAAGCAATGGACAGACGAGTCGCCCTCGCGCCGCGCCTGTGCGTGACAGGGCCTGGCCTGGCCTGCTGCGCAGGAGATAAGCCGCGTGCGGCGGCCGCAGAGCGCCGGCGTCGGGCAACGACGCTCGCCTTCCGCCCCCCGACCGACTCCGCCAGCTACTTTACACTGGTGCTCCCGCTCAGCTGGGCCACTACGTTACCGGGCGTGTTGAAGGCTGCGCCTGCTACGTTACGGGTGCGCGGTGGTATCCGGACACTGGGCCAGGCCAGGAGCGCGCGGCCGGGCCGGGCCGGGCCCGCCGCCGCCGCCGCCGCCGCGCCACCGGCCGCTCGTCACAGCGGCGGCCGCACTCTTACCGGCCCGCGGAGCGGCCGCTGCCAAAACACAACCACGCACACCGGTCACGACAGGAGTCAGGTCAGAGGACTGCGCAGCGGCCGGAGCCGCCCGCTCAGGACGGCAATCGGGCAGGACAGGCCAACCGGCGGTCTTGGAAGCGGACTGGCACAACCGGACTCCGTCCCCATATTTAGAAAAGGAAAGCCGGTTAAATCACATAGTTTGCCCCTGCGGCTTACATGTTCCGTCGTTTAAGTAGGATTCTGAGCCAAAACCGAGCATACTTTCAAGGGGATTAAGAAATATAAGGAAGGCAAAATTTATAAATCCAAGGGGTCATAAGAAGGTATTGCTTTTTGAACGATGCAAGCGTTTCAAAGGGGTATTTATTACAGCTGTGAGTGACAAGCCTGGTCTTTCTTATTATTCGGACAAATCCAGTAGAATACCAATGCACTTGAAAAGCCTTTCAGACTAGCTGTGCAAGCCGTTCTGCACAGCCGTTGGTGGCACGGACCGAGAACACGCCACTCCCTTGGTGACACAGTGACACGAGCTGGGCATGACCGGGTCCGCGGACGGGGACGTGCGGCGGAGAGTAAGCGATGGCGAGGTCGGGGTGCCGGGGTGAGCCAGCGTGACCGGTGTGGCGGTGGCGCAGCGCGCGGGCCGGCGGGGCGGGGCGCGGCGCGGCCGGCGGCCCTGACCTGGCCTCGCCGGGACCCGGCGGACACTGGACCTGCTCCAACGCTCCTGGACGGCTCAGGCGCGCGGCCGGCTGGCGCGCAAGGCGCGCGCGAGCACGGCCGACGGAGCTGGGCGCACTGAGGACAGACAGACTGGTGAACGGGCAACCCTCCCCGGTCGGCCACCCGCCCGAAGGCCACCCCTCCCAGCCGGGACACACCGCCCCCTCCCGGTCGGCCGTCCACCCGCGGTTCGGCCCTCCCACCCGGCGCTCCATATGAGTTCCGCCCCACCGCTCGCCGGCCACCCGCGGTCCTCCCGAGTCGTCCCAGCCGGGGGTGTCGCGGACGTGCACCAGACAACGGTGCGGCCGGACCCCGGACGGTCCGCTCGTCCCCCAACCAGCGACCCGTCGAGCAGCGACACTTCCAGCCACCCGGCCCGTCTCTCCCGACCCCGCCGCGACGCCGCGCGCCTCTCTGTCTTGTCCGCCGCCGTACCACGCGCGTCCAGTCCTCCACATCGTGATGCCCCGACGCCTCCAGGTCAGCCGACGGCGCGGACCCGTCCTGTCAGGCTCCCTCTTAACTAGCGGGCTTACCAGGCACGCCTATCGTCTTCAAATCACCTCTCCGCCTTCAACCAAGATGCTGTGGACGTGGCTCTGCGACGTGGTGATGCGACATGGCCAATCGGTCTCGGAGTTAGGTTACTTTGCAGCCTATCCTGGAGCTGTTCCCAGCCGGCTGAGGCCGACCCGGCCGAGGCGCGTTTACCATTGCTCTGGGAGCCGACAGCTGACCTGGCGGCGGCCACTGACCCCGCCTGACCCGCCACCCTCGGCTCGGCGATGAGTACCTGCCACGAGCCGCGCCCCGGGCTGCCCCTCTCTTCGGTCACGTCTCCCATAGGGCTATTTTCAGAAGGCTTTTTCTGAGGGAGCCATTTTCTCGAAATGCCCAGGCCAAAAAGGCCGAACTTACGGATGTCTAAATCGGAAGGCCTATTTTCAAAAGACGTTCTCTCAAAAGGCCTATTTCGGAAGTCCTGCATTCGGAAAGCTATTTTCATGAAGCCCATTTCGACAAGGCCTACGTTCACAGGGCCTTCTCTCAGAATCATACGTTTAGGAGCACTGCATTGACAAACTTACGTTCAGGTCTCCTTTCTAACACCTTCAAGAGTGTTCCACATGTGCATGGGGTTTTGAACGGAAAAAAGCCATCTTGAAGATCATTTGGTGCAGTTCACAGTCCTACGCTTCGTAAGACCTAAGCCCTTGTATTTTCTGAGCTACACGTCCGCGCAGATGTGCAGACTATTTTGGGAAGATAGTCCCGCCCCCTTAAAAGTAAGCCAATGGGTATAAATGCGCCAACTTCATCAAACCTGATGCTTGCTTCAATATCTTTAAATGAGGATCGGGCCTGCCTGCGCAACATTTGTGGTCTGAGGGCTAACTTGCAGAAACCACGTGGGCAATAAGCATACTCGCACACAGCCACCGTTCAGAACGCCACCTCAAAAACCTGTGTTCCCAAGGCTTACTCGAAGGGGCTTCGCAACAGGGGAAACGGGTCTGCACGCGCCCTCCCAGCTTCCAATACATCTAATATAACACATATGGCGTGACATGGCCAGAAACGCCTTGGAGATTTCGATGTCCTCAAATTTTGAGCCCCAACCTCTGTGCAGGCACGCCCTCTGAACATAGGAGTTCAGAGTAAGCCTCCTGTGCACAAACTCAGTGCAAGACACCGCGGCTTCTGGAAGTAGGCCTTGTGAACGCAAGTCTGGTGTAAGCAGGCCTTCTAAGCGCCGATCGCCTGACAGAGCCGCTTCGCGGCGAAGGCTTTCGGACGTAAGCCTCCTGGAAAAAGGGCCTGACACATGACGTAAGTCTCCTGAACAAAAGACCCTCCACAACAGCTCTCTCCACGTAGACATTCGAAATAAGGTCTAAGGAAATTAACCTTCTGAGAGCAGACCCTCCGAAAATAGACCTTCCGAATATAAGTCTTCTGAGAGTATGTCTTCTGAAGATCGGCCTGAATGCAGGCCTTCTGAAAAAAGTCCCCGAGCCGACCGCCTCCCGCCGCACGTTATGCGGTTGGTTAGTCCTGTCGGGGCGACAGTGACAGTGCGGGCGGGTATCAGTGAGCAGGTCACAGGGGCAGGGGCAGGGACGGGGGCGGGCCGGCCGGCGCCGGTGGCTGGCGGAGACGCGGCCTCTCGGACCGGCGGCCGGACGAGCCGCGCCGCCGGCCGACGGGCGCCGGCCGGCGGCCGCCGCCGCCGCCGCCGCCGGCGGTCAGCGCTGTCCGCCGGCGCACCGCTCTCTCGCTCTCGCACGCTCTCTCACACCACGCCCATTCACACGCGGGGAGGGTGTGGTGCCGACCTCCGCACGCAAGGGATGGACCGGGTTGTCCGGCTGATCTAGTTCTGCTGCCAAACTGCCTGAGCGTGCCCGGGCCTGGGCGGCGGCCCTGCAGCCGCCGCGCGCCCCCCACTGAGCCCCGCACAACGCACCAGACAGCCGGACGGCGCGTCCATTGCCTTAGGTCAGAGCCGAACTCTCTCACTCTCTGTCTCTGCCTCTCTCCGCTCTCCCGGTCTCTCCTGCCTCGCCGGACGGGCCGCCGCTCGACTGCGGCCGGGCGGCGCCTGCGCGCGCGCGCGCGCCGCCGCCCGCCGTTACGTTAGGCGGCCGTGACGCTCGTGTCTGTTACGTACGGACCCTCGGCACTGGACGGCACTACCCGGTCCCGGGCTGGGGGAGGCCGGGCCGCTCGGCGGCGCGCTCACCGCTGTTGGCCGCCGGCAGGTACGTGAACGGCACCACGTTCGCTCCTTGTCGCCAGAGCGCACCGTCAGCTGCACCTCGCGCGGCGCCGCCAGCTGGCCGTCCCAGTACGGCGGCACGTCACACACCAGGTGTACCTGCCGACAGAGCAGGAGACGGTCAGCGATCAGAGCACGGCCCGGCTCGGAGGGGGTCAGCGGTCAGAGCACGGCCCAGCTCGGAGGAGGTCAGCGGCCAGAGCACGGCCAGGCTCGAAGGGGGTCAGCGATCAGAGCACGGCCCGGCTCGGAGGGAGTCAGCGGTCAGAGCACGGCACGCCTCGGAGGGGGTCAGTGGTCAGAGCACGGCCGGCTCGATGCGTACCAGCTATGCCGGCAGGTCGTGCGCCAACCAAACATTCCCAATGGAGCAAAGGCCGTTGGCGCACTTCTATGTGCTTTCCACCTCTACGAGTTATCTCTGCGTCTCGGTTTTGTTTTTGCCGCTAGCATTACAACTGTGTATACGTCACGGCCGTGGTAGAGCATTGTCATGCACACGGCGCGGGTGGTAGTAATGACGCAGCGGTTGACGGCTTGCGGTTGCACGCAAGCGCGAACACCGACAATGAACACGCCCGAAACAAGAGCAGTTCAGGATGATCATGCCCCAACTGCTGGTTGCATAAGCGCTTCTTCGCAGAAAGCGGAGCTGTGTCGACGAGCCGGCACTCACAGCCTGCGTGTGGTCCTTGTGTGGCGCCACCGCCTCCGTCCAGCCGACGGCGCCGCCCTCGCCCGGCTCGGAGAAGACGACACGCGAGTCCTTGACGAAGTTCTTGCCGAGCACGATCAGCTCCAAACCGCCGTCGCAGGGGGCCTCGCGCAGTGACAGCTTCGTCACCTCGGGAATGCCCTGCGGCTGGGCTGCGACAGAGCGGAGCAGCGCTCAGCACTGGTGGACGCGGCGGGTCAGCCCCGCACACACAGTGGCTCTCAGTACACAGCTCGCAGCACACCGTACAGACGTGTGCCGCATGTCTGAAACTTGCTAGCTGCTACCGACTTTGAGCGCGTCGCACGCTCACGTCTTCCTTAAGCACCGCGTCTTACAGGCCCAGTACGTAGCCGCACGCGGTCGCATGGTTGTCTGATTTGCTGAGACGCCCATCCAAACGGGCCGCTGAATCGCGTGACACACATCTCAAGTACGTCTTCAGGCGTTGGGCTGCCAAGCCTGCGCCGGCTGTTGGTCTGGGCGCTGGCGCCGGTCAGCCGGCGACCAGGCCAAGCTGCTGGTCTGGGCGCTGGCGCCGGTCAGCCAGCGACCAGGCCAAGCTGTTGGTCTGGGCGCTGGCGCCGGTCAGCCGGCGACCAGGCTAAGCTGTTGGTCTGGGAGCTGGCGCCGGTCAGCCGGCGACCAGGCCAAGCTGTTGGTCTGGGCGCTGGCGCCGGTCAGCCGGCGACCAGGCCAAGCTGTTGGTCTGGGCGCTGACGCCGGTCAGCCGGCGACCAGGCCAAGCTGTTGGTCTGGGCGCTGACGCCGGTCAGCCGGCGACCAGGCCAAGCTGTTGGCCTAGGCGCTGGCGCCGGTCAGACGGCGACCAGGCCAAGCTGTTGGTCTGGGCACTGGCGCCGGTCAGTCGGTGGTCAGGCCACTTACTGCAGATGATGGAGCGCGAGGCCACCTGCAGCGTCTCCGCCTGGCCGCGCCCGTTGACGATGGTGACGCGGAACACCAGCCGGCAGCTGGTGGCGCGCGCCCCCTTGCGCAGCGCCGACGGGCGGCGGCCGGCCGAAGCTGTAGTCATCGGGCCGCCCGCCTCGGCCACGCGCGACTCGATATCGACGTTGCGCTGCTTCAGGATGCCCAGGCAGTCACACCTGCGGGCGGCGGCACGCCATGCTCACACGGAGGCCGGACAAACTGGCAAACGGGGCAGCGGGCAGACAGGTGGTGTTTGAGTGAGATACAGGCCCGATGGCATGGTGGCAGATTACGGCATCCTTCCACCACAAACACGCCGTTAGATATGGGCACAGTACAATTAATCATGTCCAGGTTATTTATTTGGTATGAACCAATCTTACTTAAAAGAATCGGATTCAGATTTTCACCACTAGAACAGCAGTAGTTCGTCCAGTGCATGGAAAAAACCAGACCTTCCATTCAACTCAAATATCACTCCCTTAACAAATGTACCATTCACAATGGGTGGGCGGCCAACTGCGTGCATGTGTGGACGACGAGCGGACGATTAAATGGCTGGCTAAAACCGCGCTAGCGGGAGAGTGCGAGGTCCGCTCGGCGGCGCTCCGACGGCACGCACCGGGCGCTGACGCCGCTGCCGTCCGGCTCCGGCGTCATCGTGGTCTGGATGACGACGGTGCCGTTGAGCACGAGCTCCTCGCTGGGGCTGGCCGTCTTGCCCGTGACGCGGCACGACTGGTAGAAGAGGTGCGGGCTGCAGCCGTCGGCGTCCGAGCCCACGTACATCTGCAGCTGGCACGGCTCCGCGTACCCGGACAGCTGGCGGACGCAGGGGGCGGCGCTTAGCCATGCCGCCCACAGCGGCGCGCGCCACCGACACGGACGCACGCGGGCGCGCGCTGTGGTCCGCGCGGCCAGGCAGCTCCGGCCAGCGGACACCGAGGTGATTGTGACGGACTAGGGGGACACGGCGGAGATGTGGGTCCGACCGCCGTGTCGTACAGCGGTCTCGACTCCCGCGCCCCGCCGACACAGAGCGGCCGCCCGGAGGGGACGCTACGCCTCCAGCCCGCGGCCCTCCGTGCTGACACCGGCCAGTGCGGGCGCGCCCCGACACATGAAGTTTATACAAAAAGCGCGGGAGCGAATACAGGTGGAGTGAGTGTCACGGAACACTGGACCGGTAAATGGGCTGCTAACACCTTCTGACGATTGGGAATGATATGCCTTCACATCAAAATGCATCGGCTTTTCACGGTACGAAACCATACCAGTCGTTTCAGCGCTATGAGCGCAATGATTCAGAGGTTGTTATGACCCACAATCGCCATGCAACGTTTGATAATTGGTACCCATACACAGAACCGGGCTAGATCTGATTGAATGTCATTCCAGTAGCGTGATTGGGGAAATATTATTGCGCGATCGATCCGTTGCGGCCGCGACAACGCCCCTTCCCCGCCCCGCCTCACACAACGTCCAGGCCCCAAACGGAGCTGGCGCCAAATCAAGCATCACCAATCAGCGGTTACACCACGTGGAGCTCTGCAACAGCGTTCCCAAGAAGCAGATATGAGGCAAGGCTTTCACACCGCATGGTCACGGCGAACGCCTAACGAGGCATTAGTGCCTTGGCATTAATTGCGTTGTTCTGGCGCGAACGTGCAGACTTTATCACGCAAACGAGCATGCTTTTGTTCGACGCAAGCTTCTGCTCCACCAGCAAATATCGTATTTTGCACCTGTCCAACACATGCCTCTTCGGGACAGCAAGTGAACATGAGCCGGGTGATGACACACCAGTCCTATGCTCAGCACGTCACCACTGATGCTGAGATGGCCGTTTTGGTGCTGAGCCGGACGGCTTTGACTCGTGCTTTGACTCACGACTCACGCAGCGGCCGGCTTTCGTCCGAGCAGCGCGCGCCGCCGACCCGTGCTCCGTACTCACCACCACCTGTGGTGACGTCTTGCCGGTGGCGTCTTTGACGGCACCCCGGCTGCCCTCGGTCTGGTATCGGGCTCTGTGACGCGTCTCCGGCTCTCTGGCCAACACCAGCCGGTACCTGGCAACGGAGCGGGACAGTCGTCACACGGGGCCTGTCAGCGACGCAGACACAGGCGCGGCATAACGACAGCCAGCTGTCCAACAGCCGTCACACGGGACCTGTCAGCGGCGCAGACACGGGCACAGCACAATAGCCAGTTGTCCAACAGCCGTCACACGGGACTTGTCGGCGGCGCAGACACAGGCACAGCAACAGCAGTCAGCTACTCAACAGTTTTGGTCACAGTAATGCGTTTCAGCAGGAAGCTTCTCGCCCTGCATAGGAGCTAGTTAACAGCACGACCAGGTGACGGCTGCAGCCAGCCACCGGTGCCTTGCATGGCATGACCACTGCATGCCTTGGTGGGGGCCATGATTATCATTTGGTTTCAATAACCTTCCAGGGAACTGATCTCCTCAAACCCTCCAAAGGCGCCCAGCTAGCAAAATACCATATTATATATAAGGTGTGTGTGCATACAAGTAACACGCTTCGTTTCGAATCGCATTGCAACACATCCTTCCGATGTGGTATGAAAGCGCCTTAACCGACGAATAGCTAATGACACATTTTGTGGGCAGAAGATAATTTCAGCACAGGTTTTCAGAGCAGCTTAGCATAAGCGTCTTAAGTTTCTTTAGCCAAAGTGAAGATACGTGGGTCACCAGAGCAGGCAGTCTCGGTCCACCTGGGTGGCGAGCCCCCTGAGACCGGCCTGAAGTCATCTGACTGACGGCAGATCGACGGGGGCCTGAGCCTCTTTGAAGCCGGACCTAATGCGGTTCATAAAGCACTTAAGCCTTTGCTATCTACTGCGCTGATCCGTATCAGCCATGGCCGGCGCCGCAGCCGACACAAACAAACCGTCGGCCAGCGCCGCCACGCCGGCCGTCGGCGAGCCTCGGTCGGACAAATAGCAATCAGGCGCGGCGCAAACAGACGGCCGGCACGCGAACTGCGACCGGACCGGTCCGGTCCGGTCCGGCGCAGGCCCGGCGCAGGCTCCGGCCCGGGCGGAGACACGGCCGGTGAGACCCGGCTCTGCCGGCGCGAGGGACTGGCAGGCCGGGAACGGGCCGCCCACGCTCTACCAGCCTGCCGCCGACACCCTACCAGCCCGAGGCCCGGTCGGGGGCGGGCCTCTGCCGGGGTAGGGGACTGGCAGGCCGGGAACAGGCCGCCCACACCCTACCAGCCCGAGGCCCGGTCAGGGGCGGGCCTCGACAGATGCGCTCAAGGCCTAATCACTATCGCTGAGTCGTGTCCGAGGACTGATCTACCACGACAGTTGCCGTCAACGATCGGTTGAGGAGTGACTGGGGGCCTTAGCAGCAAAGGAATGACGTCAGTGATCATAGATGTTTCGAGGCGTAGCGAATGTAGTTAATAACAACTGGCCAAGACTTTTCCGCACCAGCACTGCCCACTTCAGACCACACTGAATCGAAAATACATTCGCCGTATCATGTACACTGTTCAATGACCGCCCAGGGCCCGTACTCAGTCCATCCCTTTTGCCAAAAATGGCCGCTGAGCTGATGTCCCGTATTTTCGTCAGTTATAACGCCTGACTTAGTTCGAGGTCCAACAGCCTCCCTCCCCCTCAATCACGCATCAACTGCCCCGGCGGCATTCAGCTCCGCGTCCGCTTCGCCCAAGCAGCACCGCCGGGTGTCGGCGGCGGGGCGGCGGCGCCCGGTCGCCGCCGGCTCGGCCCGCTGCCAGCATCAGACGCCCCCCGTCCAAACATCCGCCGTCAGAGGCCGCCGGTCGGCGCGGCGGGGCGCGGGGACCTCGGCCGTGATCAGGCGGGTCCGCCGTCAGACGGCCGCCGGCCGGCGCGGCGGGGCACGGGGGGCCTCGGCCGTGATCAGGAGCGCCGGGTCCGCCGTCAGACGGCCGCCGGCCGGCGCGGCGGGGCGCGAGGACCTCGGCCGTGATCAGGAGCGCCGGGGTCCGCCGTCAGACGGCCCCCCGCCGGCGCGGCGGGGCACGGGGACCTCGGCCGTGATCAGGAACGTCGGGGTCCGCCGTCAGACGGTCCCCCCGCCGGCGCGGCGGGGCACGGGGACCTCGGCCGTGATCAGGAACGTCGGGGTCCGCCGTCATACGGCCCCCCGCCGGCGCGGCGGGGCACGGGGACCTCGGCCGTGATCAGGAACGTCGGGGTCCGCCGTCAGACGGCCCCCCGCCGGCGCGGCGGGGCACGGGGGACCTCGGCCGTGATCAGGAGCGCCGGGGTCCGCCGTCAGACGGCCCCCCGCCGGCGCGGCGGGGCACGGGGACCTCGACCGTGAGTCAGGAACGTCGGGGTCCGCCGTCAGACGGCCCCCCGCCGGCGCGGCGGGGCGCGGGGACCTCGGCCGTGATCAGGAGCGCCGGGACTGGTCAGCACGACATGGGACATCACACACGCTGATGTCTGTCATAGACAGCTTATGGGGAAGCGGAAAATGTGGAATTGCTATTTGCGTTCAATTATTCCGTCCTGACGCCTTTTCGATAATTGCTACAAACTTAAGTTTAACAACCTGTCGCTTTTTTTCTCTCCTTTCAGAACAAAACGTCTAAGTCAGTGCACCAATAAAGTTCGTCCATCTGGCGTGCCATGATGTTTCTGATAACCCCGATAGCGGCCATACTGGAGCATTGTCCACCACCCAGCACGGGCCCCTACACTGGCCGCATGCCTGCCCGGTGAGCAGGCTGACCCGGCTCAAGCCCGCACTGGCTCCGGCAGGGGGCGCAGCTCAGGGCCCATGGCCCATGGCCGTCTATCGGAAGACCGCGTTACCGTATATGCAGACATTTACCGATGAATTTTGACTGGGCCTCTCTCAAAATTGCGACAGGCTCTGTTCTGGTTAATTTCAATTCGATGCGCTCAGCTTCAACGGCTCTCCCCAAAAATCCGTCTTACAAGACGCTTGATGCAGACAGAATGTGCTCACAGTGTTGGCAGTCACACGTTGGCCTGGCCTACTGCTTGATAATCTGCAGCACTCCCGGCCGAGCCCGCCGTCCGAGCTCGGCGGACGCGCGAGCCCGCGGGGTTCAGGGCGCCGCCATGATTCGCTCAGCTGTCTCCCGTCTAACCCTTCGACACGCCACACGTCTTTCAAAGCCCTTATTTCCGTGCCATAAACCAAAGCTCACTTTTGTTGGCCTCATCGCATCACCTTCTTATTAACGACGCAAGTTGAACGGAGACTTCGCTGTCACATATCTTCAAGGGCGCACGTGGAGTTTCACCATGGAACGGGGACATAACTAAACAAAGTTTAATTAAAAATGGGTTAAGAGCGCCGCAGGCGAGTACGGTTTCCCGAGTGCCGTGACAAAATGTCGCGGGTTTCTGATCTTCTTGCTTTTACGTTTCTACCTGGAATATTTAACTCACGATGTTAGCCATGTACATATCAATACATGTCATAAATTTAACCAGGGTGGTAGTGGTGGCAGTGGTGGTAGTGGTGGTGGTGGTAGGGGAGAGGGGGCACGTGTCCTCGGAGGTTATTAAGTGCATGCGCCATTGCACGTCACGCATGGCGCGCCCTCCCACCCACTACATCTGATGTATTTCAGGGGACTTTTAGCTCCGAGGTACACCGAAATTTACTTAACACACGACGAAAGCATAATACATCCAAATGTCAGTGGTGCGCGCTGCACGTCTTCATCTGCCCTCGCGTTCCGTGGCGAGTCTGCGCCGGCCTCCACCAGCCGGTCAGGCCCACACGCATGAATACTGCACACGAGCATCGCATGTGGGTGGCCATGGCCAGAGGCGGCGGGCGCCGGCCCGCGCGACCCCGGCCACCGGCGCACCAGCGAGTCGGACCGGGCGGCGATCAATGCCAGAGCCGGCGGGCCCGGCTGCGCCGGCGGCCGAGCCGAGCCCGGCTCCGCCGCCGGCCGAGCCGGGCCCGTCGCCAGGTGATTACGTCACGAGCTACGCAGCCGACGCACCGCCGCCGACCGGGGCGCCGACGGACGGGGGCGGAGAGGGTAGGTGTGCACGCCCCGCAGGACTGCACGCATCACCAGCTGACCTGTATGGTGGAAAACAGACTAGCTGACGTTGCTTGGCGGTTTCACCGGTAATATCGTTTTTTTTATTAGCGCCGCTCGTCGAATGTGCCGACGTGGCTCCGGGTAATTTCCCTTCACTGGGATACAGATACGGATGGCTGCTGATCAATATCGTTTCGGCGATGGCTCCTTGCTGACAAACGAGAGTGGAAGCTCTCCTTGGCGGAGTGAAAAACAGGAATGCAATATGCGCGCAAGTAGGTTTTGGAAATTAAATATCCGGAATACCCCGAATTCTCTTCTAGGACAATAATTCATGTTTTCCAGTAATCAATGCCTCCAATTTGGACACATACCTTTACGCACACCACGTGCGCTGTCCGTACCAAGCTCTCCAAAACGTGGTCGGCAACATTCCATACCCAAAACCTTCGTGACAACGGGTTAATCTAGGCCATTTCCTCTCCTACATGCGAGGCGTGCTGACAGCAAGTAACTTGAAATCGGCCACCGAGTCCGATGGCAAAGGTCAGACCGAACACGAGGGCGGTCTGTCGCTAATCGGTCTCATGGTCAGCTGTGTGACCGCTCGTGGGCCCCGCCCGGTCCGGTGCGGTCCGGTCCCGCCCGACGGCGGGGACCGGCGTGACAGTCTGACCTGCGTGACCTACGGTCATCAGGGCAGGTAGCGGGCTACCGGTGCCGGGGTCAGGTCGGTGTGATTTGTGATCGCCCGGGCAAGGTGACAGCGAACCAATGCAGACATCCGGCCGACGCATCCGCTTAACTTATAAGACAAACGGCCGGGGCACACACATCAATACGAACTCCAGCTGCCAAAGCCAGGCGGCGGGACACCAACCCAGTGGTCTGACCGGGGCACGCACATCCACACGAACTCCAGCTGCCGGGGCAAGCCGGCGGACACCAACCCAGTGGTCAGACTAAACAGCGTGTGGTCGCTCGACGGAGGGGAAAGATAACCA